CTAAATAGTTACCTGGATCTAATATTCAGTGTTCCTTATCTTATCACCTCATCCTGTTTTAAACTATGCACTATCCTGTAATATCTTTTCTTCCGACCACTGCCTGCCTAATTTCAAATTCTCGAGTTCCATTGCCAAACAACAAGGATGACACTTCTCTAAAAACATACGGTGAGTTTCAGCCATAAGTTTTCTGCAATCATAAGGTCATTTTAGATGGCTCGTTCAATGGTGACCGCACAATTATCTGGATTCATTCGGTTGTTCTGATCCGAGCGAGTGGCAAAAACGTCAACAGCATCAAGCACCCTGGAATTAATTGCCATACTGCATGTTTTATTCTGGATACTTTTGGATCATTACTACTCCTCACGAATGGCGTTATATATGTCGTCCACTGAATAATCTAATTTTCAAAAATAACCCAGGCGAGTTCAACTATTTTACTTAATGATTTTTTTACTTAACATGTATATGTTTTCCGGTTCCTTTTGCTATATATTTGTAAGTGTCCCTAGGCTAAATGCAGTAACTTCTTATGGAATGTTTATAACGCATCATATTCCTGCCTGAAGTTTCACAAGCAGTCTTAACTTTAAAATTATTTTCTGGTCATGTTCATTATTTTTAAATCGACATATACGTCAACAACCTGCATGTTAACCTGGCCCATACATACGTTACACTATATCTCCATGTCTTCTAAATTTAGAAATCATCTGATCGCCTTTAACATTTATCAATAAACCCATCATAGTCGTTGTTGCTAATCGTATTTGGGTTTATGGATTGGTTTATCATATTAGCAGCCTAAAATGCGAACATAGTTTAGATAATAAGATTAAAAATTTAGGTACTATCAACTGCACTAGTAAAATAACTAAATCCTCAGGTAGCTGTTGGCTAAACAAACGTTTAAAATCAAAACTCCGTAGCCTACTAGAATTAACACTAAACGAATATTTCTGAATTGAAATTTATAATTAAATTAGGCGTCTCGGATTCTTTAACGTTATAAATTTCTGATAATTTCGAATCACCTAAAGCAACAATACCTATTTTTCCACTGACTAATCCTCAATCAACACTATAACTAGTTAAACGTAATAGTTTCAGGATATCGTCATAAAGCATTGTCATGACTTGACAATCACGTAATATGATTGATAAAATTAATGAAACTATTAACAAAATCGGTCAGCAAATTGACTTATAATTATCACTAGTGTTGTTTTTCTTTATCTTCATTCACTACAGATGATTACAGTATGTTTCTCTATCAGTTGCTCATTCAGTAAATATCTCAAAACCTTGTCAGTCTAATTGATGGTTTAGCGACACAATCATGCATGCAAATAATCAGTATAAGCAGTCGAGCAAATCTCCTGCAAACTGAAAACATCAATGTCGAATTTACCCCAACACTGACTAAGGTTCAAGCCATTATCATAGACATGAGTTGGGAGTGTACTCCCCTGGTTACAACTTATGTTCTCTCTGATAATCACATGAGCATCACTCACTATTAATCATCTTGTAAAAACTTATTTAGCTAAATACATCTTGCAGCACCACATCACTTCGTAATATGACACAGGCCTAACTGATTTTAATAACTTATAACCACTATATCTCAATTAAATCGTATTCCGCCTTATGATAAACTGCATACTTGCAACTAACTTGTATGCCCAATCAGCCGCAAGTATAAATATAAATAAATAGTCTGCCACAGATCAGAACATTGAGTCTAGAGCATGTCTCTTACGAATACACTCATGTTTAACGATTTGTTCCTAGCTATCTGTCCAAAATTCATATAATTATCACTCACGTATTTAAATTTTGTTTTGATAACCATTCATGTGTATTAGTAGTATTACTAAATTCTATCACGGTCAAGTAAAAATGAGGTTGAGAAAATCTCCCCGTAACTAAATAAACCGTATCAAACTAACTGGAACACTAGTTGGAATTCTCCACGGTAATACTTTTGTTCCTTCAGTTAGCCTACTAATACAAATGCAATTGGAAATCAACTCATATGGACAACTTACCGGCATAATCGTTATTTGATTTCATAATTTAAACCAAAACTAATACCAATATTAACATTTCTACAATATTCATTACTTTAATATTTCTAAACACAAAATACTTACTACCTATACGTTAAGTTATTAACCAACGGCTATTAACACGCATCGTTTTATTATTATTATTGTATCCCATTTTTTATAGCTCAAATAATCTTCACCCAAATTTTCATTTCAAGCGTTTTAAGCATGAAGGCAGATATTTTAAAATTATTACATGTATTTCCCGACCAGATGCTGCCGCTTTCTTTTTGATTTATCTTTCAGCTTACCAATACCCGGAGGATTCTTATTATCCTTGGTAACCTCCGGCGCGCGACGATCCCATCCAATTTGGTATCGAACCAACATCACGTTGATTCTGGTGGGAGAGTAGTGTAGTGGCATTGGACAATAGCCACACAATCCACAAAGCTGTGAACACGAGACTACTCAGAAAATAGATATTCAATATTTAACGCGGAGAAATACCTAACAATGGAGAAGGCGCGAACAATGAATTGAATGGACTGGATTTGATCGGATGGCATGGCTCGGCCATGCAGGCGTGGTCTCTGCTGAATGTTACCTTATATCTTCTATTCATATTAAATATATTGTTCCTTCTCTAGCCTAACGTTGTTCTACATCATGTATTGGTAATTGATACGATACAGTGAGTTGGTGTAGTCGATGGTGTGACTTCCACGTAAGATCTTATAGATTAGGCAGTTATATCATGACAAATCTACAAATTTAGGATTAGGTCTATTATTAGAGCAGTACTAATATCACAGTAGACCATAGTTCTACAAACGAATTTGACCATAATTCTACACTATCTACCTTTTATCGCACTATTTCGAGAATTATTAGATAGCATATAAATTCCAACACTTCTATTTATTACATTGGGGCCCCTATGGAGCTCGTGTTTGAACAGTTCGATAAACATTGACATTCTGTACCTTTCGAAGATGACATGGAAGGATTGTAGAATTAGGTCTAGTATGATATTAGTACTGCTCTAATAATAAACCTAATCCTAAATTTGTATATTTGTCATGATATAACTGCCTAATCTATAAGATCTTACGTGGAAGTCACACCATCGACTACACCAACTCACTGTATCATATCAATTACCAATACATGATGTAGAACAAGGTTAGGCTAGAGAAAGAACAATATATTTTCTATGAATAGAAGATATAAGGTAACATTCAGCAGAGACCACGCCTGCATGGCCGAGCCATGCCATCCGATCAAATCCAGTCCACTCAATTCATTGTTCGCGCCTTCTCCATTGTTAGGTATTTGTCCGCGTTAAATATTGAATATCTATTTTCTGAGTAGTCTCGTGTTCACAGCCTTGTGGATTGTGTGGCTATTGTCCAATGCCACTACAGGGTCTCAATTGTGAAGTGCGACCAGAAACAATGTTTAGGATGATAAACTCGTGGCTCATTTCCCCGCATTCATCAGGAAAAGCACCTACAACTTAATTAAAGAGTAGTTATTTCCAGATAAGCCCATTTCTGTTCTTACTTAACTTTCAAAGAACTGCTACTAAATCATGTAAAGTGTACAACTTTTGAATTCCATGAAAGGGCGAAATTTTATGTAATGATTCGTCAGAACAACCAGAATGTTATAGAGTTTGTCCTCGAATTGAGGAAGGGAGCTGTCAAGTGTAATTTCGGTAACCAACTTTTTATGCAGCTGCGTGATCGATTAGCTGCACATAATAAATCTTGAATAGAGCTTATATGAATGCCGAAGTGGTCCTTATAAGGTAGTAGAAGTGCATGTGTTAATTACCCGGTTGCTGTCCTTTTGCATAAGTTGATTAGAGAACATGGGGATAGCTAAGAAAATATCATGCTGAGTTAGGACTACTGTCGAAGTTCTGGGATAAAATCCGTGTATCAAACGAACCAGTCAGTCAAGTAAATTTCCTCAAACAACTCTATACTAGGATAGGTTCCAAAGACTTAGCGTTAGACAGATACTAACATTTGTGTTCATTTTACAGAATATACAGATTTTAGCTAACGAGGTCAAATGATGAACGTGTGACAAAATACCTACAACAGATCATCTTTTTAAAAAGAGAAATAGACACTTCGGACCAAACCTCGTGCATAGATTTTTACAGTTTTAGTTTCACGTTTTGTGCCTTTGGGATTTCAAACTACAAGATTCACACAACCTTGTGGAATGTAAATTGTATTAATGGCAAAATAGGAAAACACTCGTAGTCCAAACGAACTTCCAACTCATTTCTTAAGTACCTGTAGTCTTAAATTCCCTTCAAAGTGTTATGTTATGGGACACTGGTAATCTTGATTGAGCTTTTACCGCATTTTCTTGTAAATGTTAATTATATCTCTGACTTTCAACTTAAGCGCTACCATCTAGTATTTCAGGTTACCGGCCAAACATTTATACTATAAATGTTAGACTGGACGATTTCCTAGAATCGAGATAATGAGGATATTGTCGTAGATCAAAACTACCTTTGTGGTCCTCCGAATATCTTAATAATAAATGTTAACCAAGTGTTATTGTCTAATTGGATTTACAGCTAATTTTTCTCAATATAATACCCGTGTTGTTTATTAAGGAGATCGTGTTCTATTTTAGGAAGCTTGAAAATATAGGTCAACGGAATGATATCAAAATAGTTAGGGTGAAATTACTGTCTAGATATACCAACCCATTGGAAAGGTTACTTTCGAGTTGGTAAAACTGCCAGGATAAGTGTTTTTATACCGAATTTCTGCACGAAAATGTGATCGCTTTTCGGTAATAATGGAAGAAAGTGAACTTCAGTCATTTCGTTTTAACAAGCCACTGTAATAAAATTGAAACATTGAGGTCATTGCATAGCGCAAGCGCACTGAAAGGTTAGGGGAGTTCGCTATGAGTGGTTTGTTCGAACTACTAGTTTGTCTTTAATATTCCTATAGATGAGGTTGGGGCACTAGTTTTTGACTTTGGATCATATTCTCTTCGAGGGGGTTTTGCTGGCGAAGATAACCCTAAGGTTGGTATTTGTGACTTATAATTATCAGTTAAGATTGATATTCCATCTACTCTTGGGATTATTGGAAATGAAGAAGGTCTACCAGCGAAAAGAGTCGTTGGGCAAAATATCTTGATCCCCCGTAAAGGAACTGACCTCCAATCATTTCTTAAAGATGGATTAAGTAAGATTCTACTTAACTTACTTTCGTACAGTTGATGACTGGGATGCTTTTGAGGATGTAATGAGTCACATGCTACGGTACCTTACACCTGAAGAGGCTAGTCATCACCCGATACTTTTTTCAGAACCTTCATGGAATACAAAGTCAAAACGAGAGAAAATTGCTGAAATTTTGTTCGAAAAGTTTAAAGTGTGTTTATTTCGTTTCAAATGAATTATTATCTAGGTTCCAGCGTTTTATATAGCCAAAAACGCTGCTTTAACTTGTTTTGCGAACGGCAGACATACTGGTTTGGTTCTGGATTGTGGTGCTATTCACACATCAGCCGTCCCCGTGTACGATGGTTTAGTTCTAACTCAAGAGGTTATACGCTCCCCTTTGGCTGGCGATTTTATTGTTCAGCAGGCACAAAGGTTAATTATGGATGAGCTTAAAATAGAAGTTGTTCCCTATTATCGTGTCGCATCTAAGGTATGCTAGCATTTATATTCATGCTATGGGTAATTTTATAGTTTAGTGTACACCTTAGATTCTGTGATAATTCCGAATTCTTGGAATCAGCATGTACAGTATGTTTCTACGTTTGAATAGGTGGCTTAATTGCCATAGACTGACGATACACATCAAGTAAATGTGTGCTGGTTCAGGTTCATAATTTCCGTTCAAAGTGAAATATAATGTATATTTATTTTCTAAGCATTCTGAAGTCACATTTTTCTATAAAAAAACAGTCATTCGAAACCTGATAGAGGTGTTGTTTCTGACTTACGAATTTTATTACCCTATTCATTCAGCTGACCAGATAGTATTCGATAGAACATATTTAAAATGTAGTCATTTTCATCCTATAGTGTGGTCAAATCATTCTTTACAGTTAAATAGAATATCTCCTTAGGTTTATCACGCTAAGCCAAGAATCTTAGGACTTGTATATATTAGTTATATGAATTATCTCTGGATTCCAATGTATATTCATTTCGAATTGTATCCGCACTATCTTATGGACGTTCAATTAGACTACTGGTTCTATTATTTATTCAAATCAAGGTGCTGCATTCTCCACTCTGTCAGGATTCAGTCAGTCGTATTTTTTAGTTCATTGTATTATGATTTCGAAGTTGGAGTGGGAATTGAGGATTTATGTCTGGTTGATTTTGCAATTTTTATCAGTGATGTTGAATGTGCATGGCAGCACTTTTCTGAATAAGTAAACTTTTGAGTCTGTTTTATCAAGGGGTTTGATTCGTATCATATGTTGTAGGATAGTTGTGATATTATTATTGTCTATCTTCAAAAAGCTGGTTCATAATAATGCTATTTATTCAGACCAAAGGTAACCTCTTATTTCCAACACAACCAAATTATGTAGCATACCAGTGGAATGCATGTTTTAGGAAATATTTGGATATTTAAATGTGAGTTGTGAGTTTAATTCACCAATAGTTGTTAAAAATGAATGATTTAGAGTCGCAGATACTCACTGTTACTCGTTTATCTGTATTCAACCACATATTTCTCGCAAGATCTTTGTTTTTCGTCTGTGAGATGTAACTCGGAGGTTCTATGTATTTATTTGTTCTCTCATTCAAATAGTCTATTAGTCATAAACAATATGGAGTACGTCACATACATTCATCGGTCCAGATTGGCAAACACTTCTAGCACTTATTTTACATCTATTAGTTCTCAGGTTCAAATTACGCTCCACTTCGTTATAAGTAAATACTTGTGATCTTAAGGTATGATACAAGCCTAACTCGATGTCGAAGACTCATACTTTTACTTGTATACCCAGTTTCATTTACATTTTTGATACTCATACCGAGTAAGGTTTTACGTGTATAAGCTATTCGTTCTCCAGCGATATTCATGTAGTAAACATTTAAGTTTGAATCAGTCAGTCATGAATAACTTAGAACCCGGTACAAATGTTCATCGATCAGTTACTCCGCTTTATGTTTATGTAGCGAAGGGAAATTAACAAGGTAAGCGACAAAATCAATCAAGACATTAATATTAGTGATGATAAAATCTGAACATAAAAAATGTAGTCTAAAAAGACGGACATGATTAGTTAATGAAAAGCATGTGATAATGTTAAATTCAGGATTTAGAAGGAGATAGTGAATGCGTACATCAGTGCTACTCAAACCGTTTTTTTTATTATATCATCAAAGTCCTGCGACTATACACGGAGTCCGCGACAAAGAGTCCACCTAGGGGAGTTGGAAAACCCTCATTCTAAACCAATGGTGCACATGGGCTCCAGTATCCTGAAGGAACAAATGGTGTATGAATCTATTGTTGGTCACCGGCTACCTCACGTTGTTCCACTGTCTTGTGGATCGGATCTTTAGGTCGAAGGCTCCGGGTGTGGCCCCTTAGAAAATCACCTGTTTCGGTTTGGACACCCTGGCGATATCCCAGCCCTTACACAAATCGAATGCTTTATGTGGCGCATATCTGTTTGGCGCCTACTTGTACCAATGTTTGTGTTTAAATAAATAATAATAAATAAAATAAATTTAACCTTGGCAGGAAATATTCGCCTCCGGAGATGGTTAATCCAATAGTCAACAGTTTTATAGGTTCATGCAACATTTAATCCTTATCATTTTCCAATTCACAAGATTTTAGTTGGGGTAGGTGATGGTTACTCAGATGTAAAACTTGTCCCGACAACATCAGTCAACTTAATCAACTGGTTTACATCTGCCTAGTACGTTAACTGACTTCGAAATTACTCACTTTGTAGTTCCGCTAAACACGAAACCACTAATTATTAAATAATCGAGTCCGTTTATCTCAACCATATTTTCAGTTTACTGTTCATATATTTTCATGTACAAAACGAAGTATCTATGTACGTTTCATTTATAAGTTATGATTATAAAAAATATGACTACCGGTTAATGAAATTTCATCGTTGTTACATAAGAGATTTGTTTCTTGAAATAATGTTTGGAGTGACTATAGCATAGCTTGCTGGCAACGATATCAATGAAACTCTAAGTGCTATGCGATAGATTGGGAAAATGATAAAATAGCAGATAGGTAGATACGATTTAAAACTAACTCCATCTAAATCATTGTCTAGTTACCGATAGTTTGTCACTATATGTCCTGTCTTTTTGAACAGTCGATTAGTTGTTAAATCACTACGATTTTAACTCTCGAGTTTATGGTCCGAACCCTGTTCGTTATGGACAACTGGTTAGTGTCACTAGCCCTCATACAGTGCTACCCAACTCTGAATATGTGTGAAATTTGGTAACTGAGTTTCACTTATATTAACCAAAAGATCATGATTCTACATTTTACTGTAGTTCCTAAGTTTTACAATGTTGTTCGGTTTATTTCCAACAAGACTGAATTATGGCACGACTCACTGATTATATATATTCTTCTCCACTATATTTAGTTGTTGTCGATTTGTGAAGTTTGTTGATAACGAATTAGGTCAGTAGTAACTACCATCAAGCTTAATTTTTCTTACACACTTTGTTTTACTTTGATCTTTGAATAATCTAAAATTAAAACAATTGTACTTTCATGTAAAATCCAAAGTTGTTGTACAAAGCATTTCCACTAGTATCTTTATACAGATCTAGTCACTGTGAGGGATAATAATACTACCTTGTTTCCCAAGAAAAAATAAGCAGAAAAGGGGCTGCAAACTCGGAACTTAGTGGCTGAAAAGTTGGACAGGCTATACAGGAAGCGGTCTTAGTTGCTCGTTGAAGATTTGACTGAGTAATTTGCATAAATTTGATGCTTAACAGTTGGAAACTTTGTTTCCACTTTAGTTAACGTACAAATGATTTGATCAAACCTTACAACATGGTGTAACTCACTTCAACGAAGTACACATTTATTTACTCAGCTTTGAGTTGTGCATTTTATCTATCTTTAGGCTAGTAATACTACTAGGTTACACAAAATTTAATGTATATGAAGTGAGGTGTGAATACGTGGTCTAATAGTTGAAGATCTTATGGTTCTGATCATTAGGTTACTCCGTTCCATATTTCAATGACATAAAAGCGAATCCAAACTTTTATACAAATAACTATGACTTGTCAAGCTGCATTATTATTATTATTATTATTATCATTGTTCAACAGGAAATGATTCACAGAATTTAGTGGGATTGATGTAAATATTTTTATAATTGATTAAAATTATTTAGGAGCCTGTAAATGAACGTGAACCTGCAAAGTGGAAAGAACGGACAAATCTACCACCTGTTTCCACATCATATGAGAATTATATGTTGAAAGTAAGTAGCCCGTCTATATGACAAAATTGAACTTTTTCCATGTATTTATAACTCGGCTTATAACATAAATGATCATCAGTTTTTTTTGAAGATGTGACCCACTAGTTTATACACTCAATAATCAACCGATGGACCACAGATTCAGACACTACTCTGGCAAAGTTCACTTTGGATTGCATATTCTCACACAAGTTGTGGAGATCATCATAGTCCAATAGACAATCGCGTTCATTACTGTTAATTTACATGTACTTTGAGTCATACTTTGTTTTTAAAGGTTCGTTTTATTAATTGTCTATAAGTCAAAGAAGTCTAGGTCACATTGAAAGTCAAATGTAATTCAATAAACTAATGTTCACAAATTATGATCAATGTCAACATATAACTTTATTTTAACGACTTAATTGGGCTTACGATTATGATAGCCTGTTCTACCCAGTTCGCTTTATACAGTTGAGGAGTATCACTTGTCTGCACATTGAATTTGTGATGTGAAATCGAGTATAAAAGTGTATGTACTCGGTTACTGACCTCGCAAAAATAACATTTAAATAAATTAGTTGTGAGATAAGGGGTGATTGGTTTAATCGTGGAGATTATTTCTACTACGAATTAAAATCAAATAGAGGAAATATTGAAAACTGTGGAGGATAGGTGACTGACTTTAAGTACCAAAGAAATCAAATGATGAAGCATAATTGATTAGAGGATACATGAATTTCATAGATCACTCTGAAGTACCGATGAAATAGTGATCCAACCGTTAGACTTAATTCCTACCTTGTCGTCTAACAATTCATCTCAAAGCTAGTCGAGTACAAAGCACACAGTTTCACTAGGTTTGCAATAATGATGTTGAGTAATTACCTAAACACAGTAGTTTTTTAACGAAAATGTGATTAAAAATTATATCCTTTATCACATTTTAACAGTGCAAAACTGATTGTTAATGACTTGCAACCAAATATATAATATATTAGTTTGCAAGAATTAATCTACAGTTTTCCTGTCGTAAATTTTCCTCAAAAATCAACAATCATATTCATTCATGAATCATTTCTTTCCTTTTTCTAACATTTTCAGTGTCAAATACAAGATTTTGTGGCGTCAGTTTTACAAGTTTCTGAAGATCGTTATGATCAAAGGTTAGTGGTTATGACATGAATAATAATTGAGTTGTATATTCTTGGTTTAAGAACTTTCCAAGATTAGAAAGAGGCTCTGCAGTTCTGAAATCGCAAACATTGATCTAACACAAATCATGTGTAATTCCTACAGTTAGCTAGATCACTATTGAAAAGCTTGAAGCACTAAACGGCTGTTTCTTCTACGAAACTGAAGATTCAGGGTTGGATTCTCTGATGTGACGTGGTAGATGCACATTGTTGAGTAGTCCCATACTAGGGCGAAGTAGCCGTCCTATGCTTTTTGATTTTTAGTATTGGTTCATGATTTAGAGCATGAAGATTTTACAGTTTTCACAAATCTCCCTGCACTCATATGTAGTTATTTGTATTTGTAACGCTACACTATACAAGTTTTGCCTGTCTTTTTTTAAAATACTTGTCTTTCAGCCAAGCGGACACTTTTCCAATGGTTGGTTATGAGTTTCCAAATGGATTCAATTTTGAATTGGGTCATGAACGTTTTCAAATCCCTGAAGCTTTATTTGATCCATCTATATTGTTAGTAAGTTTATGGATATTTTCTTTGAGCTTATAAGATTTTATGTTATTAAGGAAAGAAAATTTTTATGAATATTATTTGTAGCAGTGTTATCTAAAGTGTTTGTATTGTCCTGTTATTGGTATTCACCATTTCCTTATCATCAATCTATTTAGCATATAGTTTCTGACAAGTCTGCTGCTGTAACGCTTGTTAACCCTAGACTACTTCTACGCGTCGACTCAGACAATAGAGAAAAGGCAAAAAATATGTGTAACAGCTTTACTCCAGGGTTAGCTTATGTGCAGGAAATCAAGAGTGTTAATTAAGTTGTAACAACTATCGGGGGATAAGTCTACTTTCAATTGCGTCCAAGCTATTGGCTTCCGTCATACTTCGTAGGTTGTTCAAAACCCGAGAAAGATTGACTCGCGAGGAGCAGGCTGGGTTTCGTTCTGGTCGAGGATGTATTGATCATATCTTCACCCTCCGCCAAATGTTAGAACACCGCCATACTTATCAAAGGCCAACAATCGTAGTGTTTCTTGACAATAGAGTTGCCTTCGATTCGTTGGACAGGACTGTTCTCTGGGATTGTCTATTGATGAAGGTTGTGCCTGAGAAGTTTATTAACATCCTAAAAGCCCTATATAAAAACACCTCAAGCAGAGTGAGGGCATACAACCACCTCTCTCCATTGTTCCATTCGAGCAGTGGGATTAGACAGGGTTGTCCAATCTCACCATTCCTCTTCAACTTTGTCATCGACGACATTCTGGAAACAGCTCTGATGGATGTAAGTAATGGTGGTGTGGATCTGTTGCCTGGAGAAAGACTTCTCGACCCTGAGTATGCAGATGATATTGTCTTACTGTGCGATAATGCCCAAGGCATGAAATCCGCATTTATCAGTTGACAGTCAGTGTCCGTAAGTATGGTATGAGCTTTGTACCTTCGAAGTGCAAAGTACTTTTACAAGACTGGCAGGATTCTAATCCTGTACTCACCCTGGATGGTGAGTAGATAGAAGTAGTCGAGAAGTTTGTGTATCTGGGTAGCTGCATAAGTGCTGGTGGTTGTGTGAGTGATGAGATCAATGCACGTATAGTGAAAGCCAGAGCGGCTTATGCCAACCTGGGCCATCTTTGACGCCTTCGTGATGTTAGTCTGGCTGTAAAAGGTCGGATCTACAAGGCGTCGGTGAGAGCAGTTTTGCTCTATGCCTGTGAAACCTGGCCTCTCCGAGTTGAGGACGTTAGACGACTCTGTGTTCGATCATCGTTGTCTCCGAAGGGTTGCTGACATCCAGTGACATCACCATGTTAGTAATGCGGAGATTCGGCATTGTGTGTTCGGGCGCAAGGACGATAATCCAATTGGTGTCACCATCTTGAAACATCGACTTCGGTGGCTTGGACATGTTCTACGGATGTCGTCTCAGAGAATTCCACGTCGTGTATTATTTGCCGACTCTGGGACTGGTTGGAGAAAGCGGAGATGTGTTCAGTGCATGACATGGTGTCGTGGCATGAAAGAAGGCTGCAAAGGGCTGGCTCCTGTTGGTGCTTCACGACTCCTTGGTTGGGGTCCGAGAGATGGTGCTACACAGTGGCTAGAGACTTTATCAGATATGGCTCAGAATAAAAGCCAGTGGGGATCCTGCTGTAACATTCTTTTACTTTCTTCGTAAAAAGTGGTTGTGTCTTCCTTAACTGAAAGGTTTCTTCTGATTGTACCTTTTCGTTCCCTCATTATTACTACTATTATTACTACACTACCTTACACTAATCTCTTCGTTATTGTTCTCTTTTTTTACGCCCCTTACCTTTTTTTTCTCTTCGAATTCTCATTGTTTTGTGTGACGCATATATATTTGGTACCCTCTTTTACCAATATTTATGTGTTCAAATAAATAAATAAAGTTGCATGTGACTTTGGTCTTCCAAAACCTGGGAACATACTGAATATAACAACACTAGTTAATTATCCAACCAAAAATGTGACACGTGGTCCTTCTTTCTAGAGATATTACTGAGAAGCTTCTATTCAGTGCTAACTGGATAAAAACATTTCCTGAACTCCCCTACAGTTTACTTGAGCTAATACATCAACATCTTTGCCCAGTGTTACAAGTTTATTATATTTTCTAATTGTAGCTAGCACTGGGATCTAAGACAGATTTTGTCATAGCTGAAGCTCTTCAACCGGATATACCTTCATTTCAGTGTTGTCAGTGGTGATTATTTGGACTAGGACCTATTACATATCATTCTTACTAAGCTACTAAGTCAGGATGGCCAATAAACTGTCTAACGCGTATGGCATTCATTATTATTAATACTATTAGCCATAATGCAAAACTGTATGCAACTCAAAAACACAGATGATATCTTTTTATATACATTCAAAGGGGCCTGTTTGTATACTAAAAGCCTCTATTAAGATTTAATCTTGAATATCAATTACAAGAAAATCGAAACCTCTGACTACAACAAATATTAGTACTAGATAATATCTGCTTAAAGCGATAGATACTGTATTCGAACATTAGTGTGTTGGACACTGCAATACAGGTAGATACATCCTAATTGAGGTGAAACACATACTTTACACTTCATTTCTAAGCATAATCTATTCTTTTTTTGTTTCACTTATGTAATTTTCTTTATTTTAAATATTATAGGAAGCTGGCGGGAGTTCAATGTTATCAATGAGTCACATAGTGGCTAGTAGCATTAGTATGTGTGATATTGACATTCGACCTGTAAGTGTAATTTATTTTAAGTATTTTCTTTTTACTGTTTTATTTTAATTAATGTGTTAATTGACCAGTCAACATTAACGTATGGTTCAAGATAGTTCAATTCACTTCCTCAATACAAGGAGATGGAATTAGTCGGACTATTTGTGATTAATCAAATAGAATAAACATAGAGTATTTGGTTTTAAAAGAACTAATGAATCTATGGAAGCTAAGAGAAGATGAAGAATTAATATATTTAGTCTCAGATTGACCCGACCGTTTTTGTTACCTTGACGTGGTGGTCGAGCTTGCCTATCGTGATGAAGCAACCGAGCTATACTGGCTGGAACAACCGTTCTCAAGGTCCTACCATGTCAGACAGGTCGGTTGAAGAGCGGTAAGACTAAAGGCAACAAACCCAAGGTCCGAAGGCGAAGTCGTACTGCTGACTGTACAGAGGTATGACAGCAGTAAGGAGTTTCCTTCAGACAACCAGCATGACAGCGATGCTGCCTTCCCACAAGGAGGGGTGAGGTTAGAAAAGGTCGACCCTAAAAATGCACACCTTGCCTTATCCCACAGATATCCGTCTCTGGCGGTAAGGTCCCAAACAGTACGGAGCTAACACAAAAATTACTCATAAAAAGGTCATGTGTGACCGACCTCAAGCAGTTGTCCCTTGGGCATTGCGGTCACGCTCCCAGGTGACTAAGACCACCTCTAATCCAATTTCCTTTTCAGGTACCTCCATAAGAACCCTTCCACGGTGTGGGCAGTCGGGAAGTGATAACCGCTCTCATACCTCTAAAAGCACTCACGACCACTGTATTCATACCTCTATACCTCAAGTCTCAGATTGAAACTAATTTTGAGGCAATTTCGATTCGGATTCATTTATTAACTTTGAATACATAGTTTATAAATCGTTGTTTAATGAGGACACCGACAAAATCCAGAGTCTTCTAATTTCGTGTAGAAACATTACAAGCATGTTTGAGATGGATTTCTTTCAACCAAAACACGAGATGTTTCCATAAGACCGATCTATGTCAACGTCTAAACTAATAACTTGGAATGAAGTAGTTGAAGGCGTAGACCGTTTCACTTATCTCGGAAGTCTCATAAATCTTGGTGTACTACTGATGTTAGCTGAAACTTTGGCAGTTCGACAAGCTTGGTTGATTTTTACTGATTTAAATGTCGTCAGGATTTACGTCTGCCAACTAATGGGAGTGTGTACTTCTGAAAAGCAATTCACTCTGTGCTATTTTGCGGCTTCGAAGCATGGACTTCGATAGTCGAAGACTTGGGTAGGCCCCATTACTTGTTCACTAATTTCTTCGGAGTATCTGTCACCCACTCTTCATGGAATAACTAAGTGGTAGAGCAGAGTGGACTGGAAGAAAGCTAGGGGAGGGGGGGGAAACCAAGATATTATATTAGTTCATAAGACCACTGACTGTTAGAAATTGAGCATGTTGATAGGTAGAGACCACGTGGTTGGGATCTTCGCGATAACCTTGACCAATAGTCGGAGACGTTGAGTGACATGATTCGGAATCGATCATCCACTCATCATACACTGAGTCAAATATCAATTTTATCACTACCTAGAGGGAGAAATATATGCCACATCACTTAATTTCTGTATCCATACACACTACTTACTAATAGTCAGTAGTCTGAGTTACATGGCTATATTTCTACTTTTCGTATGCTGCAATAGGGTAATATACCTTCGTTTTCAACAGACCAATCATTTTTCGATTAGTTCTCCTACTTCTGATGGTACTTATTATGTATTTATTCTCACTATTCATGCTACTCTTTTAAATTTAATTTATACTAAAAGAATTGTATAACTGAAATGTAATGCCTAATTCCTGTTTTTATTGGTCTCATTCTCACCTCGACATGTTCGTGTACTGTTTTCTGATTTACATTGTATTCTGCTGTGGACCAATACAAATATGAAACTACCTTAATTCAGTCAATACTCCGAAACGTATAAAAAGAATGAGTTAATCGAACACAAAAACAAATATATACAGAAACATATACGTTACTTGTTATTATTAGAAGGATGCATGTTCACAGATCCAAATAGATATCTATAATTATAATAATGTAGGTAAAGTAATTTAAGATAATGTCAGATATAGATTCAAGGTGTTCATGTGTAATTGACAGGGAATATGCTGTATGAAGTGAACCAAAACGTGTGCAACAGGCTTGTTAGTAAACAGTTACAAAATGGCAGCCAACAAAGTCAATGTATATGTGAACACGTGTGTTTGGCAAACGGTAATCCTTAAGATATGTGAGAAAAATGAACAGAAATAAAGGAAATTGTTGGCGAGACCCAGAAAATTCCTCGAAAAAGGTCAAAAGCGGGCCTGAAAACACTGAGCAACATCTTATCAAGTTAGCATTCAATAGAAGTTTCTCAGAAACATCTATTAAGTTAAAAGTCACATATCACCTTTCTGACTGGATAATTACCTATCCTGCTACTATGTTAAAAAAGGGTTCCAGAACTTTCCAGAGGCCCAAGGCCATCTGAAATGCTATAAATACCCTAGACTTTCTGTACATGAACGAACCTTGGTGTAAAATGTTCTCTCTATATTTCGCGCCTTTTCTCTTATGTTCAAGTTGTCATGTAGATTTGACCTGGGAGTTACTAGAAGAGCTTAGGAAACTGAATCAAGCGTTCAATGAGGAAATTTGTCGTAACCAAATGTTGTTTCCTCGTTGGCTAGAAAGTAATTCAACGTCATTCAGATACTTTGCTTCCATCGATCTACCATCATATCATTAACCCTATAAGTTAAAATGAGAATTTTCTTAAAAGTATGATATCCAATAGCAGGCTATCCGTAATCTCGTTTTAAAAATCATGCATAAACTCAACAATCTTTATCTTTATTCCGACTGATTGATTTCATTTGCTTCAACGCTGTCAGTAGAGTTTAATTTTATCATGATTATTTATTTATTTTAACACATAAACAATGGTACAAAGAGGCACCAAACAGATATGTGCCACATAAATGATTAGATTTATGTAAGGGCTGGGATACTGTCCGGGTGCTGGAACCGAAGCAAGTGGTTTTCTTAGGGGCCACACCCGGAGCCTTCGACCTAAGGGTCTAATCCACCATGCAGTGGAGCAACTTCAGGAGATGTAGTCCCATGGTAGCTGGTGACCAACAATAGATCCATACACCATTTGTTTCCTTAGGATCCTGGAGCCCATGTTCACCATTTGTTTGAAATGAGAGTTTTCTGCTCACCATGCCACTTCCTTTGCCGCAGTTTGTTCCATCCCCATCGAAATGTCGAGTCCACTGGCGCGCTGACCTCTGTAGCTCTGTCGAGTTGCCGAGGCATCTACATCCGATATTCGCCTAGCGATCAGAGATCCCACCCTAGCTCCCCATCGACTGCGACTGCTGCAACCAATTCCGCTCCTCCAGAACACTACACTCAACGTCACCTTCCTGCACCAGACTGCCACAACTAGCGCCTCCTCTCATGGCCTCGCAATGGCGTTCGCAGAACTTCATCCTCTCCGCCTCTTTGGCAGTGACACCAAATGTAGTGAACGAAGACTTGGTGTAGATAACCGGTTTATTGTTTAATGCAAAATTACAGTGTCTTCGTAAAGTATGAAAACCATACATTACATACATCATCTACACATCTTCCAGCTCCGATTGGAAGTGGAAAGGTCACCAACATAAGATTTAGAAGACTGAAGTGGAGAGAGGAGGAAGGAACACTGACAGCAATCAAGATTACAACAGGAATGAATAAACAATGTAGTTCGTAAGAAACAATTCAAAGACATGCAAATGATGTATCTAGTGTATGATTTTCACATTTTACTTAACCACCATGTGATTTTGCATTAAATAATAAGTTGGTTATCCCCATCAAGTCTTCATTCACTGCACTATTACTAACATCATTTGAAAATAAACCGGCGAGACTATAATTTATGGACGAACCAATCACCCTAAAGGATTATAAGGTATCTACCTGATGTCCTATATCAAGGAGATGTTTAGTGATTGCACTATTCAGAGTCTTTCTTTCCCTTGTTCTAAGACTTTTTGGAACATGTTCAAAAAATCTAAGATATGCTCTCCTTTCAGTTTGGCCGATGTAGCTGCTTTGGCAGGTACAACTGTATTTATAAATACATCGTACATCGTACCATAAAATAGAAAACAACATTTGTACAAGATCTAACCAAAAGAGGCTGTGAATGTGAAAGATACTAATTGATAGACTGGGTATAATTCAAGAATGCTAAATCGTATAATAATAGTCTATGAGTCAAAATAAAGCTTTTAATAAGAGGAACATGAATATGAATAGTTTAGCTACTTAATAATTATACGATGAAAATATACGTTTAGTGTTAGTCCAGAAATAGATCCCAATAGTTACTATTCATTATTCTCATCGGGATATAACAGTACCCATCTATATTCACTATATATAAGTTATATTGATGAATCGTTTTTTCTTTCTTTCCTTATATTATCATTTTTAGAGTTTGTATAGTAATATCATAGTTGTTGGTGGTAACAGCTTAATCACTGGATTTACTGATAGATTACAACGAGATTTAAATATTAAAACACCACCGGTATGTTTGTATTTATTTATAGAATAATAATATTATTATTACATAATTTAGAGTATGAGATTAAAAGTTAACTTTCCTAGTACAACAGCTGAACGTCGTTATTCCAGTTGGATTGGTGGTTCTATTCTAGGATCTTTAGTAAGTAAAATGACATGTATATTCTATTAGATTTATATCTTTTATGTATAACATTTTATTCTGACTGAATTGTATTATATGTCTATTATAAGTATCATCAGTATTGTTAGTTCTTATTTTAAATGCTGTTAAATAGTGAATGGATTTCAAAGTTGTTTGATGTAGAGATTTATGGATGGATAACTTAATTATCAGAGGGGATTTGTGGAGATTTTAGAAATTTCACAGATTGAAATCATGAGTTAATTGAAGTTGGATTGGTTGAAGTTAGACATTAACACCGTCGGATGCCGGCTCAGTGGTCTAGTTGGTTAAGCGCCTGGCGCGAGATTGGTAGGTCCTGGGTTTGAGTCTCGCGGGGTGCTGGGTCGTGAGTGTTCACTGCTGATAAGTCCCATACTAGGACGAGACGACCGTCCAGTGCTCCCAGGTTTTCCATGGTGGTCTAGCTTCAATTGAATCATGATTTCAATCTGTTAACTTGATTATCATGAAAAAGTCAAGGGTTAATTATGAATTCTAGTTAGTGTATACTTATGATATGCACCTCACATTGAATCCAGGACATTTTAGGCTTCTCGATGAACTATTCATTTTTAGATCACTTAGTTAAAAAACAATTGGGTCCATATTCCAATTTAAATTAATTCGGATTTAGTGGAGTTTAACTGTGTAGAAAATTTGGTAGTAGTTATACACCAATCAGATAGGATGGTTGTCGGACTGTCACTAATTAACTCAAATCGGAAATATGAATTCATTAAACTAGTGATTTCGCGCCAATTCGGTGTTGCCTACTAAGGTGACCTTCAATAACCCCTTGATTACATGACAAAAAACTATAGAAAATTTCGTCCTCATGTTTTTTCTGTTTGTGATACTTCTTATCACACTAAAGTCAGTCAGTTATACGCAACGTAGAACCTAACACATATGTACATTGGTTCCAGTTTCTATATCTCATTAGCACAGAGTGATGAAATTATCAAGTAAAAAATCCCAGAACAGTAGAGGTAGTAACAGTATTGGTGCTAAGAGAAAAGATTCGGGGTCGAAAATGCCATTTGAGAAGGAAATATAAATTAGTGAAATAGTAGGAAAAGTTATCAGGAATTTAAGAACTTTGAATATAAAGGAATAAAAGGAGTGAATGCACCTGCTTCATTGTGAACAATTCTGAACTATGTGACCCAAAGTCTCTAACCATTGGTTACGATATTCATACAAACTGCAACGACGTAATCTGCACAGACCCATCTATATGGCTGAGTCCAATAGTTAGTACCTTCATGAAATGGTGTCATATCTTGGTTTGTCATCCTCTAACATTCTTCCAACCTACTTCTACACCAGATAACGTCGTGTGTCGATGTAGGTGATCGATTGATTGGCACATGTAATACATGTCCCAACCATTTCAGTCGATAAATATTCACTACTTCTTCAATCGATTTTCCATATTTATCTAGTACTATGGGTCTAATTTCAGGACTGTTAACTCGATGGTCCCAAAATATACGAATAATTGTTTGAGAGCATCTATGATTGAATACTAATAACTTCCAAATATTCTCTATTTTTAAAAGCCACGTTTCACAGCCGTTAAATGAATATTTGTTTTTTCGATTTTACAGGGTACCTTCCAACAAATGTGGATATCTAGTCAAGAATATAATGAATTAGGCAAAGGATGTGTGGATAAAAAATGTGCTTAGGAAGAGCATATATTTATTAATAAAATTCATTTTTTTTACCCATCCTACATGTATTTTACTTACTCGCTTTCACTCCCGCGCACTGTGTGTGTGTGTGGGTGGGGTCTATTAACATGTATAATACAAGTGTAATCTGCATTTCTTTGTAATATATGTTTACATATTATCTATCTTTTCTGTGTTTACCTCTTCAACGGAGTTTAGTTCGATTTATCACAAATAGTCGTACTTTAAGTGTATTCTTTGCATTTTGTTAGTAAAATTATAGACTTACCTATGGTATGGCAACTTAGGTCTCTATTTTAATAATGATTTATACAGTTGTGCTTCAGTATAAAAACAACAATCTACTTTAAAATTCTAAGTTACAAGTTCAAATTGCTATCTCCATCTACTTAGTTTAGGTCAGATAAGTAGTATTTCTATAAATGTGATTTAAACTCGCGTATGTGATTTATGTGTCCGAATACTGATAAGCAGAGATGGATGATGGCTAGTAGTGGATTTCAGGGCATGCGTTTTGTCCTATTTGGGACCCGTCAGATGGATATACATGCATCTCAGAGTTTATGTTTACTCTGAAACTGGAACTCATTACAGATGAATTCGAATAGAGTTGTGTCAAAATTTAAGCTAATCCTCTTTTCCCGACAGGCTTGACGTTTCTTTTGTCACCGATTTACATAATTAAGCAACTGAAGATATTATACAGAACGTAAGCCGTGCTTGATATGTCTGTGCATTGAACCACATTTTCTTTCATTAATGAGCTATGTCCAATGAAATCCAAGGGTATGTGTTCATTCAGCTGGATGCTTTTAATTGCGAAGATTCATTTTTAGTTCTGTGCATTATCTCAGCTGTTCTACTTCGTGTGTAAAAGTGAAGAATTAAGATCACTTCTATGTAAATTAGGTGCTGATAAGATTTTTTCCAGAGCGTCAATTAACGATCTACGATTAAACGTTTTAGCTCAGAGAACATATCAACAGTAAAAGTATCTATCTGTGCTGCGAATTATTCATCATTACTGTATGTCTTCTTCAGTGACACCTAAAACATTCATTTTCAAAGCTGTACATTCGTATATATATGTATTTCTTAAATTGAAAGTCTCTTATAAGTCTTATGTTTAAAGTAGATATTATTAGTAATGCACTTGAAGTGATCTTGAAAGGTCGATTAGAAAGACTTTCTACGCACCAAATCGTCGTGTAACTTACCATAGTTTCCTTTTTATGCACCTCTAGATGAAAAATCAGTTATATCAACCGATCAATTTTGTATGTATAAGCCAGGTCATCTACTTCTTTGAGGCTAAATACTTAGGTTGTTCGTCTTAACTGTTTTACTGCGTAGAATGTTATCTTTCACCATGAATTTACGAAGAATAGCGTATAATGATTGTGTCACTTAGTCTACAATAGCCTTAGATTCATCTTTTTATATGTCGAGATTCAGTCAGATATGTTGAGGGATTCACCACTAAATTTACTTTTGCATTGCAGAAGCTTTGGTGATACAGATCTTATATATTGTAACAAACATGGAGCATGTGGATGATAATTGTCACATTAACTTCGTTTGAAATAACACTACTGAAAACCAAAGAGTACTGGGAATTGTTTCGTCATAATGTGTTATTCCATAGAAATGGTTCTTTACAAACTCAAGGACCACACCTCAAACTTTGAAATCTTATTGTAGTTAGCATGTAACCTTCTTGGAAACTGAGTTTACAATCTAAATTCAATTCATTTATGATTTAGAACGACTAATGTCTAACACTAATAACTAATACTATCTCACTTCCAACATGGTTGAACTTTTAGGTTCAATCCTAGATGCAATCCCATAGAGAGTCCTATGATAAAATAAAATTGATCAAATTACTCTTAAGTATCAATGTGATGTGCTTTTTCTTTTCCTGTTTCTAGGGGTAGAGTGTACTCTTGGAAGTTTTTTGTTTGTTTCAAAATCTAGTTGTTTATTCTTTTATCTATTTTGTTTTCGTATATACACACAAGAAGCAGAAAGAAAAAAAAAAGAGAAAACAATATTTCTCAAAAAGATTATCATTTCAAAATGATACTGATTTATTTGTTGTTGTTGAAGTTAAACAAAGTTAAGGGTAAAGAAAGAAAGAAGGCAAGTATCCCATTTTGTTCTACTATAAAGTAAAAAAATGTTTTTGATTGAATAATGTAAACAAGTTTAATATTGAAACATTGAATGATTGATTAAATGCATAATAAAGATTTATTCATTAGTGAATGTTAAAGTATATCACTCAGACAGATAGTCAGTCAGCTACAACTTAGGACCACGCATATATATATGCATTGGTTCAAGTTGTTATACTTCATTAGTACAGTACAATATAACTATGAATTAGTAGATAAAATAGGATAGTATTACTACTACTACTACTACTACTACTGTTACTACTTCTTCTTTGTTAATCTCATTTTCTTTTCTTTAAGGACAATGAATGAATGATTCGAGAAGAGAGAGAAAGAGAGAGAAAGGTGCTAAGTTGAGAAATTGAATGATAAATTATTATATATTATAAAAAATAGGTGGGTGGGTAGAAGAGATGGGTGTGTGTGTGGGGGGGCGATACATTGTTTTTTTATGTATATGGGGAAGGATACAAATCTAAATAGGCAGATAAGTAGGACTGAATAACAAAAGTCCATATGGTTATTATTATTATTATTCAAAAGACAATTGATTGATTATTTAGGATCTTTCTTCATTGTTTACTATTAAGATCTAATAGTTACTATGTATGTACAAATTGTCTAGGCAATAGATGATGATGATGATCTTGTATATATGTATATATTGTTAAGATGATATTGTTTCATCATCTAATGGTACAGTTGTAGTATTACATGTTTCAAGGGTTTCAATTATTCCTGTGAATGTATCCGACATTTGATTTACATAAGACTAGTTGATTTCCATTTTATATATATCGATAATATATAAAAAAATTAAAAAAAGAAGAAAATCGATTAATATTTTGTTATTTTTTAAAGTTTAAATATTACCCTGAAAAATATTTAAGCGATCGCGCACGAGACTGGGGCCCTGGGTTCGAATTCCGCGAGTGGGATAGTGGATGCGCACTGCTGAGGAGTTTCACAATAGGACGAAACGGCCGTCCAGTGCTTTCAGGTTTTCAATGGTGGTCTAACATCAATCGGTTCATGATCTCAATCGAAATTTAACAATAAAGTTGTATCTATAGTGTTAGTTACTATGTTAAGTTGATTCTAACCTTTAGACAAGCTAATTGATTCATGCTACTTGAGTTATGTTTTAACCCTTCTAATTATTCTCAGAAGGGGTTTTTGTGGATATTATAGTCAGTTTAATGGTTGAGATCATGAGTCAATTGAAGCTAGATCATTATGGGAAACCTGGAAACATTGGACGGCCGTTTTATTTTATTGTGGGACTCCTCAATAGTGCGCATCCACGATACTGCCTTGTTAATTATTCACTTATCAACCTTGACTGTTTTTATGTGAGTGTATGTGTATGTGTATACCCTTCTTATCCTATTCATTACATGTCTGTAACTTGTTTTCTTATGACTATAAATATTGATTAACCGCTTGATTAAATGGGGTTGGCTCATACACCTTCTCCACTGGATGTTATTTTCACTTCACTCTCTTCTCTTCAATTCGTCCCTCTGATTATCTGTTCAGATCAATGAGTGTACAAAATATGCGTATTCAAAACCTACATTCTCGTATTTGACTTATTTGATTCTTTTATTTACTAACGCGAGTTAAGTCGATAATTTTATACGAGGATTGGCAACTTGTAGTGTCGGTTACCTTGACGAATATCATTAAACGCGCGGCCATTTTTGTATTTTTTAATTGATTATTTTTCTTCTTATTTTCCAATATTTTTCTTTCCGTTTCGTTCAATTAAACTCGTTATCATTAGTTGTTTATTTCTTAAAATTTATATAAAATGTCAATACTTATCGACAGAGCACCTTTTTCTTCAAATTGTGGATGATAGTAACGTACAACGTACAAGCTCTACGGTTTCTCACGTTGTCACAGAAATAGTTAACGTATTCTTGAATTACATTGTATCTGGTAGCATTCCAACCAATTGAAGCGTTAAAGAACATCATCAGAACTGATGAAAGAGCTACGTACTGCCATTATGCGATGAGAGATTTTCATTTCCATCGTGATCAGAAGCCGTATATAAAATTTGTATGTTGGAGAAATGACCGTAGAATACCTAGCGATTCCTCACAGCTGATTAGACGAAGGAGGTAATTTGACTAGTGTTATTATATTTTTTCATAAAGGACTTCAATGAAAACTCAATGTTCGGTATTCGCTTTTTGTAGGTTTATTGAAGGTTATTGAACTGTTGCTCGTGAGAATGTGAATCAAAATCAGGCGTGCAATTCCCTGAGGTACGATAGTAATTATTGGATGCGTAAGTTAACGAAGGGTGTCTTTGAGATAGTGTGACCACTTCTGATTCCTTGGACAGTAGCATTCAATATTCTGCACTTCGCTTACCAATCTTAGGGAAAGCGCCTGAATGTTTTTAATATGCACCACAAAGTGTTCTCACAGGCCAACCTTCCTGGTGAACAATGTGCCTATTTATATTAGGTTAGGTGATTACGCTAAATTGAAAGCTTACATAATGTCGCTTGGTGGGCTTTGTGATTACCAATTATCTTTTGTATTTCTTCTTCACAAACTGCTGATCAGATGAATTTGTCAAGTCGTTTTTTTGATGTTGTCGTCTCTCTGATTGTTTGTTCCGATCAACGATTGTACAAAATATACGTATTCGAAATTCATTCTCTTATTTGACTTATTTTAATTCCGTTATACTCTAACGCGATCTAAGTCGATAATTCTATACGAGGATTGGTGACATGTATATCTCGATAACAATCAGAAACGATCAAACTAGAGTAATTAGAGTCAGATGACGTGCCACAAAAGTATATTTCGTTCGATATGCTTCTGGATTAAATAATTGATTAATTTTTACAATCGAATTCATGAGTTGATCTAAACTAAACCACCACTGAAAACCTGGAAGCATCTTAATCGACTAAAGTTAAACATTAACACAGTTGGATACCGGCTTAGTGGTTATATTGGTCAAGCGTTCACACTCGAGATTGAAAGTCCTAGGTTCGAGTCTCATGTGGGTGTGCACTACTGAGGAGTCCACCCACATTAGGAAGAAACAGATGTCCAGTACTTCCAAAGTTTCACGGATGGTCTAGCTGAATTCGACTCATGAATTCAACTGTGAAAATACTACAATATTCACAAAACCCAATATTGAATATGATTAATTCATTTACAAAGAATAAAAATGTTTCAGTGAAGAATTTTATCGATCAAATTGCAATGTAACTACTAGTCTATGACTTTGCATCCCATTGACTATGTTATGATGTGAGGTGAAGGTAATCTACAGGAAGCTCCTTACCTGTTTCGGGCTATTACACTCGTCTGTAAGGTGTACTGGGGTTAACCTAATGAAACTGACGGTCGCTGAGGGATTTGATTCCGTGTTACTTAGCTTCACAGTCAGAGATGTTACCACTGAACTATTCGGGCAGGGATTGACGCCACCATAGGACTGATATGTGTTTACAATTAACTGATTACTGAGATGGCCTTAGATAACCACTAAAAACCAGCATACACTGGATATGGGTCTTATTCTATCGATACGGTAAACCAATCAGCAGTACCTAATGAGAAGCCCAAGCGATGGAAATCAAAATTGACCTAAGAGACAAGTGAATTTCAATTTGGCAGTTGACAAAGACATGGATTACTTTCCTAAGGGGTAAGTTGTATATATATATATGAGTATTTGTGCGTTTTGTAGCCCAATATAATCTCTTTTTCATTCCTGTGTTCTCGCTCATGTGGTCTGTTGGGGGGTTAGTGTGTAGCACATTGTGTATCAGTATCAAATTTCAGACACCGCCCGTCACAGCATCTACTATAAGAATCTTTAAGAGTACACACTCACGAGCCCACTGAGGACCGAACTCAGGATTTTCAGTTTTTGTGACAAGTGTTTAACCTCCAAACTAATGAATTGGTTTAGTTGTTATTTGGAACGTTTATATTATTACAAATTCTTAATTCAACATATTCTTGATATCACCACATCTACTAAATAGGTAGATTTCTGAGTTTCAGTAAAAAAGTTTAAAAGAAAACAAGTGAAAACTGTTGTAACGGAACGAAGACTGAACAAATGGTAAATCTTGAAACTATCATTATGTATATTCTTATTGTATAAATGTTAAACAATTGGACAACTGTTTTTATATTACATTTATTGTATTCTTCTAGTTGGTACACTGACGATTACTATTCATCTTAATAATCCTAATTTATTACGATTCAGTTAGTTACAGCTTATCCAATTCCATTGCCATTTTTTGCCCGTTTCTGTATAACGATGATTCTCTATTTTATGGTGTGATATGGTCCAGTATGCCTATACGTCAACACATGTATATTTAAGATGATAATATATATAAAAGTTTGACTACTGTCTTTTACTTACGAACTCAAGGCTGTTGATATGAGAAAGGTTTATGTATCGGCAGGCTATCTTAGGCTGAGCTTATGTTAGCTAAAGGTTAAACATGTCGGCTGAATCATATCATTGATCAAAACTAAGGCGTAGAAAAATTATAATCGGAATTCAGGTTCGCAAATCGAGTAAGTGATATCGATTAACGTTAGACAGCAAAGATCAGTAGTTTAAAAGGTTTTAAAGGATCTGTTGTGTCATACGATCAATCGATTAATGTAGAGAATTGTTGGATGGTATATTCTAATCGTCATAGTAACGTGTTTCTCATGAAAAATCACTTTCTCTCATTCAATAAAAACACGTAGTCCCATGAAGATAGTCAATCTTCATCATTGTTTTGAATTTCGTGTGGCATCATATTTAGATAACTGTCAAGGTTGTCTAATGAGGTATGAATTGTGTTTTGAATGCTCAAGTATATTTCATAATTATCAGAATGAGTTTTGTGGAGATTTTTAGAAATTTCACTGGTTGAAATTTTGAGTCAATTGAAGTTAAACCACTATGGAAAACTCAAAAGCACTGAACGGCTGTTTTCGTCCTAGTACGGGACTCTTCAGCAGTGCACATCCACGACTCCGCACCCCGCGAGACTCGAACCCAGAACCTATCAGTCTCGCGCCAGGCGCTTAACCAACTAGACCACTGAGCCGGCATCCAACGGTGTTAATGTCTAACTTCAACCAATCCACGAAGTTCGCCAACGTACACCGTTGTCTTCAGTGAGTTCCTATCTCACAACAAACCTGGTTGAACTCCACTGGTAACGACTTCTTTTTATAAATAAACTTTAACTTTTAACATGTGATACGTTATAGTTTAAGTTCATTGACTGGCTTTACTTATATGACCATTGTTTCTGTATAAGATTCATCATCCATGACCTGGTCAAAGCTTTCAGATATTTATATTAATAAACACGATTGCTGAATACACTATTTTCATTTTTAGAAAGGGGGTTTTGTGGTATAATTTAATAGTTGAATTCATAAGTCCATTAAAGCTAGACCACTATGGAAAACCTGAAAGCACTGAACGGCTGTTTTCGTCCTAGTACGGGACTCTTCAGCAGTGCACATCCACGATCCCACTTGCGGAATTCGAACCCAGGACCTATCGGTCTCGCGCACGAACGCTTCACCTTTAAAACACTGAATCGGTATCCAATGGTGTTAATGTCGGTTCTATCAATCAATCAGAACATGATTTAATTTTACACGGTGCTTTGGTTGGTTTACAGGAATTGAGCATTTACAGCTTGTTACAACCAATAAAACGCTGAATTCATCATGTACAAATCCTATTGAAGTTTAATGCATTGAGAGTAATAGTTTTATAATCATACATTGAACATTAAAGTCTAAATATTATTGATAAATCTTCTTAATTTCGTATTATTAATATCTATTTAATAAGAAGAGAAATTGGGAATTTTGAATATTATCAGAGCGCGGTAGATAAGTGGATAACTCGATGGTGTCTAAAGCGAACAGTATTGGGTTCGAGTCCAGCAGTGAATATCAAATCTGGGATGCTGGTACGTCTAGCTGACGAGTCCCAAATAGGATGAAACATACGTTTTGAATTCCACTACTAGCCACCATCCATTTTTTCTTGTAAAGCTTGTGACTTAAGGCAATATCGAGGCAATCCGTATAGGATGCACATATGCCAACAAGAGACTGATCAATTGCATTCCTAAACATCAGTAGAAGAATACAAGCAAAACAATATAAACTGAATTATTAATGTTTACTTGAATTGATGTCATGCACTTTTCAACGCCAACCAAACGTTGAACAAAAATTGTTTGATCAGCTCGAATATGATTTACAGTTTCATATATGCTAGTTTGTAGCTAGAAAAGTTATTAAAGAAACAATGACAACAAAACAATTGGATAGCGAATAACATAGATGATTACTATAAAAAGTAAAAAACAAAGTATTTTATTTGGACAGTTGAATTTTCGAGTCGATCTAAGCTAGATTATCTATGAAAATCGATCCCGTACGTGAGACTCGAACCCAGAACCTTCACTTTCGCATCAACGCTTGACCTCTATGACCACTGAGTCGTCTTTCAACGGTGTTAATGTCTAACTTCAATCGATCCATGATCTTGAGTAACTATCCATCCATTGTCTTAGGTGGATATTTATCTCCACCATACACGGATTTGACTCCATTGATCACGGTTTCTCACTAGAACTCCAGGAATTCCATCTTTGAACTAGTCATTAGTGAATGAAACGGCCATCCAGTGATTTCAGGTTTTCAATGGTGGACTCATGAATTCAACTATTAAAATTACTATAATCTACACAAATTCCCATTTTGATAATGTATTTTCTGTTTGCTATCGTTCATAACATACATAGATATGAGTGATTGAAAAATTTCTGCCTATCACATTTCTTCACTATTGATGAAACTTTACTTTGTTCTAACGGTACAATTGATTTCATTAAAATTGCTGCGACAATTCAAGTGATTGAACTGATACTTTGCTTCTGGAACCAACTTCTCGCATCTCAAATGATTAGAAATCAGACGATACTTGTACTATAAATCAACGAATCGATTGTATAATTGAAAGAATTGGAACAATTATCTCTGTTTTGATAGTTTATTAATTAATGGATGAAATAATTAAAAGACTTATGTTAAGTTCAGTGCAGTTATTGTATAAGTTGCAATTTAGCTTACTAGTTAGAATAAATCCACATCATATGGAATATGATTTGGCGCTAGGTGGTTGGAAGTAGTCAATAGAAAAGCCTGGAGACTCAGGTTCTTAACTAGTCGTTACTCACTAATAAGGGGTATCTATAATGCTGCAACTAAGACATTCTAGCCTCTACTAACCCCCTATAAGGCTGCTTTGTAAACAGTGCCTATATAATGTAGTTTATGTTGAAATGTATTATCACATTTGTAAAAATGTTTCAAATCAAGCTTATGTGTATGGACAACAAATTGAAAATAAATGAATAACAAACAATCGTAGTGAGACTATAATTTATAAACGAACCAATCAGGTATAAGATAACAGGATTCGGATTTTGGCGCGAAATTCACTTATCCATTTGGCTAAATAGCGTTTTAGCATTATAACTGATATCAATTCGTGATGAAAACCCCAAATCTTATTCGTAACCTTAACCATCAACTGTAAATCATAATCCTTATTTTTCAAACTGCTTTATGACCTTTACCCAGCCTACCTAACCTACCTACCTAAGTAGGTAGACACTCCCAAGGTCACTGTAGCGTCACTCAAAGGTCATCCATACATTATAATCTCACCATAATTAATGATCATTATAAGTGAACATTTGCTTACTTTAGCTAAATCCACCATAGAATTAGCATCTTCTTTCAGTTTACGTTGATTATCCTTTGCTTTTCTTAATCTATTTAAATAAATTATAAAGTTTACAGTAAATGTATTTGATAAACAATAATCTGAAATAAATAGTCCAATAGCTAGTCAAGACATGAAGTTGAACATGTTTATATTAATGTATAAAACTATGATTGAAAAAGTAAGGTTAAGGCTATGCTATCATCTGGTTAGCGTTTTTTTAGCGAGTTACTTTTCTACGGGATGGGATCGCTAACCGCACCCAACCCTCCTCCTTTATCTGGTTTGGGACTGGCAGTAGCCCTACAGGAGCTGCAGGCTCCAGCATGCACCAATCAAATCACACTTGACGGAGAAGATTTGGAAGATGTAAAAACCTTTACATATCTGGGCAGCATCACTGATGAACACGGTGGATCTGATACAGATGTGAAAGCGCGAATCGGCAAAGCAAGAGCAGCATATCTACAACTGAAGAACGTCTGGAAACCAAAACAGCTGTCAACCAACACCAAAGTCACGATTTTCAATAAAAATGTCAAGACAGTTCTACTGTATGGAGTGGAAACTTGAAGAACTACGAACGCCATCATCCAAAAGGTACAAGTGCTTATTAATAGCTGTCTACACAAAATACTTTGGATCCATTGGTCAGACACTATCAGCCACAACCTACTGTGAGAGAGAACAAACCAGATCCGAGCGGAGGAAGAAATTCGGAAAAAGCTCTGGAAGTGGATATGACATACATTGGGGAAAGCATTCAGCTGTGCCACAAAGCAAGCTCCCCATTGAAATTTTCAAGGCCAAACGAAAAAGGATGATCAAAGAACACATTACTTCATGAAATGGAGAATAAACAAGAATTGGATAGAACTAGAACGGAGGGTCCAGAACAGAGTGGGTTGGATTATAACAGGTTGGGTTATAACTAAACAGATACAAAGTACAAGAGATTTTTTAGTCAGAATTGAAGCTTAACGGTTGTCTTAAACGTTTATGATCTTTGTGGTTTTCATGAATGTCTCTAAAATGTTTGATACATTTGAAAGTAACAGTTTTCTTCAATGAGTTATCTCCATAATGAGCCTTCAGTATTGAATGAATTTCTTGTTAGTTTAGTTGTTATATCCGTAGGTTAAGTTATGGGTAACTTCCTGGAACTATTTATAGACTGTTATTATATATAAATATTCTTATTGGATAACTATTGCGTAACTATAGTATATGTATATTCATATTCCTTGTATTATAAGCTTCCATTTGACCTGTTAACTATTATTATACGATTTACTATTATTAAGTTATTCCCAACGCATTAGTTACAGCCTCCTATACTCACAGCCGCTTTTGGCTTGATCTAGTATAATTGTTTTATTTTTTCATGATGTGTTGGGTCTGGTTTGCTTGTATATGGTATAAACCATGTATGTCTGAAATACAGTGGAGGTTGGGATTGCTTTCTGAACTCAACAAACAAGTCTATACGAGAAGGACTAATAAGAACTGGGAGTTGATTCCGGATTGCTCGTACTAGTTAAAGCGTCATTGGTTTGGTACAGTGCCAGGGTCTTATAAGTCGGTGATCTGATTGACAATCTTGTCATGTAATAATTAACAGGGCAAAAGTCATAATATTAGTTGTGTTCATAACTAACAATTTAAATGACTAAGCTTCTGATGTAGAAAAAATAGAGTTATCTTAAACACTACTTTTCTTTCAATTAGTACTTGGTAGTTGGTTGGAGAATGACGAGTCCATCACGTGGTTGACATTGCTTGATTGAATTAAAATACAATCTTATAGTTAACGCTACCCGTCAGCCAAATGAACAGAGAGTTGTAGATTGTGTAGATAGATCCCCGGTTTAAGTTTTATTGTAACCAATAATACTAGGATATAGGTATATATAACTGACGAGACCTATGTAAGACGAAATACGAGGATCTGGATTCCACTGCTAGCTATATTTCAAAAATGTAATCAAACTTGTAACTGTAGACAGTCTTTAGACATTCATTCAAGATGCACATATATATCAACAGAACATAACTGAAACGTAATCTAAAATATCATAACAAGTGGAAATTATACAAAACATTATTAATTGTGATCACAAATTGATTAAACTATCATGTTTGAAATTCATTGTACTTCATAAAAGTAACTAATCTATGAACAGGTTATTAGGTCCCGATAAACATAATGAATGGTAACTTTGGGATCCATTTATGGACCAATAATAAACGTATATTTTTATTGTATAATTGTGAAACAACTAAACTATTCATATTCCTCTTATTATAAACTTTATTTTGACCTATGAACCATTATAATACGTTTTACCATTCTTGAATTATGCCTTGTCTATTAATTACTATCTCCCATATTCACAGCCTCTTTTGGTTAGATCTTGTACAAATGTTATTTTCTATTTTATGCTACTTTGTGGTCTGTTTGATTGGTGTATAAATTCAGTATGTTTGAAATATAATGATTCATTTTGCAGATGCTGAGACTGGTGTTCTGGACTTAACTGACTGGGCTAGGCGGAAAACAGGATCAATCAGGACTCTAGGCTACTCGCACGTGTTTTATGCGTCTTTGGTCCGATCGATAATTCACTGCTGTCTAATCGGCGGTCACAAGTTATAACATAGGTCTAATCCTATGAGATGATTAACCAGCAAAGTTTATCTTTCACATAATTTCTAACATGATTCCGAGCAATTGTTTTATGTCAGAGAACAAGAACGCAATTTGAGGGTAACCAAATGTATTTGAACCCAACCTTACAGAACAACTTAGTAAAATCTGCGAATCATACGGTAAATACTTCATTTGTAAAACGTCAATCAATCATATCAGATTTCATTGTTTTTTTTTGTTTCCACACTAATCATTCACTGTTCTCATTCTCTTTTCTTTGATCTTCACCTTCTATCATTAGACGTTTACACTTTCGATTAATGATATATACTACTTATATTAGTCGATATCAGTAGTATACACACATTTTAAGATAATCAATAGACAAACTGTTTATTGGTTGTTTTTTTTTTTAGTTTTTAATAACTTACCTACTTATTGCTGTTAAAAATTTTCTTTGATGTCTTCTTACTCGACCTGGTTTAACACGTTTGACAAGTCTTGTATATTTGTAAAATAGCCAAGTTTCACGTAAAACATTAGCAGCTGAATGTCGAAGCTAATTAAATAATTAATATCGGTTTAGGGGTTGTGGAGATTGTTAAGTTTTTGATTGAAATCATGAGTCAAATGAAGGTAGACCATTATGGAAAACCTGGACGGCCGTCCAGTGCTTCTAGGTTTTCCATGGTGGTCTAGCTTCAATTGACTCATGATTTCAGTCATAAATAATTAATGATTGTAATAAATAATAAAACAAAGGGGGTAGATATTAGGAGAAGGAAATAGGAACGTTTTGAAAGTATTCACTTATTCTTTTGAAAAAAAGATTATGGATTCATGAAGGAATCTTTTTAGTTTTGCATCATCTGATCGCTATACAGTAACCAATCTACATACTTACTTACTTACTGTTACCTCTCGTCCAGGCGCATAGGCTGACCACAAGTATTCTCCATCCAAAACTGTCTTGGACAATCCTTTCTAGTTACTACTTATCCTTTTCATGTCCGCTTTCAATTCTCAGCGCAGTGTGTTCTTCAGCTTTCCTTTTTTCTATTTCCCTTCTGGATTCCAAATTAGCGCTTGCCTCGTGATGCAGTTTGGTGATTTCCGAAATGTATGTTCTATCCACTTCCAAATTCTTTTTCTAATTTCTTATTCAGCTGGAAGCTCGTTTATTTTCTACCACAGTAGGTTGTCGCTGATGGTATTTGACTAATGAACATTAAGTATCTTGTGTAGAAAATTGTTTACAAATAGTTGTACATGTTTGATGATGATTGTGGTAGTTCTTCGCGTTTCAACTCCTTACAGTAAAACTGTCTTGACTTTCGTATTGGAAGTTCCGACTTTGATACTGGTTGACAGTTGTTTTGAGTTTCATATGTTCTTCAATTGTAGGAAGGTGGCCCTAGCTTTGTCAATCCTTGCCTTCACATCTGCATCAGACCCTCCTTATTCATCGATTGTACCGCCCAGGTGCGTGAAAGTTTCTACATCTTCCAGAGTTCCTCCACCAACTGTGATTGGATTGGTGTGTATGAGATAGAAGAGCTAGGTCATCCGTGAAGTTCAATCCTAGTAATTCATATCTATATATTACTAATATTTTGAAACCTCCTAACTTAAGCATTCATACTTAGTGATCACAGAGTTGTAAGAAAATCCGTTACTAATTGATCTCAGTTGGAATACCTTTAAAAACTAATGAGAAATCGATAGCTATTTTGTTATAGGTCTTTTTTTCGGCAATCACGATCTTACTAGGGATTACACTTTGATACTATGGGTTCATATTTAAAACACATCTGAGAATCTCCATACTAAGATGACACAATTATATAAATAATATCCATTTAATGATGTAAGCAATTGTAGTGGCTGTGCTTCGTTAACCAATCATCCTCGTAACCGTTATCATATAATCCTCAACGGTGTTTGAAATCAGAAGGTAAAGAGAAGCAGCGACTACAGTTTTATTAGCAGATAACTCAGTCCATAAAGCAGTGAGGCAAATGAGTGAGTCAGCGACTCGAAAGAGTAGAGTGTAGGTTTAAATGTACATATATATACAGCGGGGAATGAAGGGATCATCGAATCAATTAGGCAGTTAATAATAATCGTTAACACATACTACTATCTGGCTGACAGAGTAGTATCATTCATCGTTATATACAACACATTTAAACTTAAAGCGAATACATAAACTGTAGAAATAATGATATAAACAATGAATCCAACGATGTATACATCTACTTATGAACGTACATTTTTGTAGAATTTATTATCTTGCATAAAATTGTGTACATGTTTCTCAGCTCTGGTTAATTCTAGCTTACGTGCAACCACTGCAACAACCAATGCTGTACATGCAGATCCCTGTAGAGATATCAAGACAAAAAAGAGAGGAAAACCAAGGATCACATTACATCGGGAATTGGAAGCAAATATTTAAAGAATGAATAGAATAATGGTAACAACTTGAAACGATTTCTCATAACATAGTTCGATGGAGAATCTTAATGGGTGGTCTATGTTTCTCGATGAGAGATAACAGCGTAAGGAATAGTAAGATTCATAGCATCTTTATCTTGAACTTTTACATACGTAACACATAACAAGTAGGTTAGATTGATTTTATTTGGTTGAAGATAAGTTATTTTTTTATCGGTTAATTTATTGTCTTGATAATGTTCGTTAACTAGTGAGTAATTTTTTGATTAAGCTCACAAACCGATTGATGTTAGGCCACCACTGAAAACTGGATAGCATTGAATGGCCGTTTTGTCCCAACATCTGACTCCTCAACAGTGCGCATCCACTATTCCACACACGGACTCGAACTCAGGACCTCCAGGCTCACGCATCGATGCTTAACCTCTGGACCACTGAGTCAGCATCCAACAGTGTTAATGTCCATACTGGTGACCAGTGAATAAACACAGATATGTATATGATAAAGCATACAAATAATATTTCTTGTGGTCGGTATAAACGTATTTCACACACACACGTCCTCTCTCTCTTTATGTCAATATTGTCTTGGTTGGACAATTGTAAATTGTAGTCACACTATACACATAGAGGCTTGCCAGTAACTTTACAAATCGTAAAGGAAATTTGTCAACTAGACTAATTCACAGAATATGGTGGTGTATCTGACAATTCTTATTGGATTATTGACTATATATCAGGAGGGAGTTTTGTGGAGATTTTAGTAACTTAATAGTTGAATTCATGAATCATTAAAGCTAGATCACCATGGAAAACCTAGAAGCACTGGATGACCACTCCGCCTTAGTATGGAACTTCTCAGCAATGGTCTTAAGGTTAAGCGTTCGTGTGCGAGACCGATAGGACCTGGGTCTGAATCCCGCGTGCGGGACCGTGGATGCGCAAAACCGATTTGAATTCTGTTTAATTGAGATGTTGTCTCAGTTCAGTCTTGGAATTCTTCAATACTGGACACACATACACATACACCAAAATTCACAAGATTCCTAGTTAAGTATGGAAAATATGATGTCATTACGCAATCGCAATTGTCCCAAAATCAGGTTTGTTCTTTACAAAGCATCGACATAAATTGTTACCTTATTCTCATTAATAATTTGGTTTAGAATAGATCTCTAAGACTTCTGATATGAAAGTATAATAAGTACAGTTCAGTCATGTCAACAGTGAGATATATATTATCAATCAAATGCTGAATTGTAATTACATGGTTTCATGAATTGATCAAGTTAAAAATGCGAACTTATGAGTTCTCAATATAATGATCATATCAGAGTATATAAGATCATGTAAATCCTGGAAGGTTTTGGGTTAGACCGTTTCTAAATTGGTCGTTGTGGATGGATAAAGAGTACCAATCCAAGATAAAACTATTACTCATCATTATCTCATTTTCTATAACTTTTCAGCTAATGTTAATCTGAAACTTAAAATTATCGTCAAACTAAACTGTTTTCATTGCATTACATAATTTATTATACATTTGTTTATTTTCCCTACAATCGAAAATCTCTACAGGTTAAAAACGTTCTCTAATCTAGTACTCGTGGATTGGTTGAGGTTAGACATTAACTTCGTTGGATGCCGGTTTAATGGTCTAGAGGTCAAGCGTTCCCTTACGAGACTGATAGATCTTGCGTTCGAAACTCGTGAATGAGCACCGCTGAGGAGTCCCATGCTAGAACGAAACAGTTGTCTAGTGCCTCCAGGTTTTTTCATGGTGATCTATCTTCAATTGACTCATGAATTCAATTATTATCTTTTAGATAGTATAATATTTATTTATATTTTTTGCTCAAATCGTATCTTCGATCCCTAATCTTTTCTGTTACAATTAACACTATTACTATCATTGCTACTATGAGATTTACCCGAAAAGTTTCGTCTTACTGTTCCAAGCCAGTATGAAAACTTGAATCGATGTAAACATGTGCAAGGTTCTACATTGTGCTCAACCAATTGAATGACTGACTGATTATCCTGTTGGAAATCTACATCATTATTTATGTTATAATGGTGTTTTAGTCAAAAAAATAATAAGAACTTACCATAACACCAGCTAATACAGATATTGCTCTGCCACAATTTGTATTTGGCACCATATCACCATAGCCAATACTTAAAAATGTAACAGCAATTAACCACATTGAATTTAAAAGTTTCTCATATTCTTTATTTTGTTCTCTGTTATAAAAGAATAATGAAAAGTTCAAAGGTAGAATCGATTTGAATGGATCATTACAAAGTAGAAGTATAAATAGACTGTGATTTTGAGTTGTAGGTTGATGTTTTTCAGATACTTTATGATAGAATTTATTGCCAGAATGATGGTTTATGGAGATCGTTGTAACACTTTAATAGTTGAAATTATGAGTTGATTTGAGCTAGACTAGTATTGAAAACCTCGAAGCATTGGACAATCGTTTCGTCCTCGTATAACACTCCTCAACAGTGCGCATAAATGATCCGCTGTCAGTTGCATGGCAGCCACTCTCTGAAGACAGTATTGTTATAACTTGTGACCGCCGATTAGAGAGCAGTGACTTATCGATCGAAACAATGACGCATAAACCCGTATGAGCAGCTTAGAGTTCTGATTGGTCCTGCTTTCCGCCTAGCTCAGCCAGTTAAGTCCAGAACACAAGTCTCAGCCTCTGCGATAGGAATCATTATATATACCAATCAAGCAGACCACATTGCATCATAAAATAGAAAATTACATTTATACAATATTTGGCCAACAGAAAAATGACACGTGAAGTAAATATTGACCAGTAGGGAAACGACACGTGAAATAAGTATTGACCAATAGGAAAATGATACCATTTCAAGTCCAAGGATAGCATTAGACTTAACAGGATAATTTTTGAGATATTTTTCTGAATATCGCAACAAGTATAAGACGGTCACGCAATACCGTGGGTTGATTGAAGTTAGACACTAACACCGCTGGATGTCGGCACTACTGACGAGTCCTATATTGGATGAAAAATTTGTCTAATACAACTAGATGTTTAATACTTCACATCATACTTTTAATGCACAAAACTATTACATTTAGTACAGGAATAGGAAATAATCATCGTAATTCAGAAAAAAATCAAATCGAGTACATATATACTTGATCACGTATACAGAACCTTCAGTTTTGAACACACATATGGCCGTCTAACGCTTTCAGATTTTCAATGGTGACCTACTTTAGATCGACTCATGAATTCAACTATTGAAATTTATCAGTTTAGTGGTTGTGGAGATTGTTAAACTTTTGATTGAAATCATGAACCGATTGATGTTAGACCACCATTGAAAACCTGGAAGCACTGGACAGCCGTTTCGTCTTATTGTGGGACTTCTTAGCAGTGCGCATCCACGGTCCCGCACGCGGGATTCGAACCGAGGGCCTTCAATCTCGCGCGCGAAATTTATATAATTTTATTTCTAAGCATTAAAATTACTCCAAATTTACAGTCAGCAAGAAACAAAATAGTTCAATAAAGATCAAAAATTTCATTCCTGTTCATTTCATTATATCAATTAACAGAATACTAAGCATTCGAAAACAATTGAACCTCATTATGTTTGAAATAAATATTTCTCAAAATAAACAGCCTACTCATGAGTAGTTCAAGTAAACACTTAAAAATTAAGTTAAAAACGACCATAAATAAATGACTTTGCTCGGGAGCATAACTAACGTTTTACAAGCATAAAACTATCCTTATTTTAACCAAATGTATCATGTAATTAAGCTTGAATTCTGCTAAACCTTAGTTACAGTTTCGAATCTATCCATGAATTTTGAGCACAGATATTAAGTTTATCGATCAAGGTTGTTAGTTTTGTTAAGAATATTCAATTTTTAACCATTTTATTAAGTGAAAACAATAATCTAAATAACAACAAACTGGAAGATTAAAGTAGACTTGGATTTATCGGAGAAGACGTGGTAATTGAGCGGCTACAATAAATTGGACTACTAAGAAGTTTCTTAATTTGTGATTGTGATAATCAAATGATATGTGGACCTTAGGCAGACTACCGTGATGTTATCTTTCGATGTATTATGTATTAGAGGAAAAGGTTTTCTAGAACAGGAACTTTTTTTTCACTCGACCCTATTGAAAATAAGGCGAATTGCGACAGTTGTTGCAAACTGGATAATAAAAAGCAGTAGTAACACTGGCTGCAGCCAGGTACTGCAATATATACGGATGATTGAAGAGCGTACAGATGTCAACATAAACTTTCTAATGTGAATCATGTCATTATACACAAGCGCAATTTTGTGGACCCTACAACTGGACAATGTTAGAGGTATCTAGTCGAGGTTGAAAGAGTTTTTACGACCTTATCATTCTCAGAAGGGGTTTGTGGAAATTTTAGAGTTTCCACTGACTGAAATTATGAGTCAATTGAAGCTAGACCACCGTGGAAAACCTGGAAGCACTGGACGGCCGTATCGTCCTATTGTGGGACTCCTCAGCAGTGCGCATCCACCCCGTGAGATTCGAATCCAGGACCTATCAGTCACGCGCCATGTGCTTAACCAACTATACCACTGAGCCGGATTGGTTGATGTTAGACATTAACACCGTTGGATGCCAACCGGCTCAGTGGTCTAGTTGGTTAAGCGCTCACGTGCTATACTGATGAGTCCTGGGTTGGGATCTCGCGAGGCGGGATCGTGGATGCGCACTACTGAGGAGTACAGTACTAGGACGTCCAGCGCTTCCAGGTTTTCCATGGTGGTCTAACTTCAATTGACTCATGATTTCAATCATTTAATATTCGAAGGTCTCCATATCCTATTAGTGTGCTGGTTTGATATTTTGTTGTTATAACATTAACTACTTATAAGTAGCCAAATTTATAAATTGAAAGAAATTGACATTTTTTTATTATTAACAATTTACCTTTCACATACACGCATAATCCAACTTGTTACAATCCACATGGATAATATAAATATTAATAACATAGTACCGGGACATACTGTAGCTAATGTTTTTAATACAAATCTAACATTGATTTTCACACGATTCAATGCACCAATACTACGTGAACCAGCATCAGTAAACATTGTTGAATGTAATAATAATACACGAAATATTAAATATAATCTTAAAAACATTGGAATTGAAAAAGTCAATTCTAAAATAATCATAGGTACAGGTTTATCATCATAATGAATATCATTATGATGATCATTTATAAATGGTACACTTGGAAATGGTATATAATTATTTAATCTTTGTGTATGATTATCTAATATGGAATCATAGATTGATGTAGTTATTGGTCTATTATAATATGAATTCATTGGAATACTGGATGATGATAATGATGATGAGGATAAAGGTTCTTGATCGTTCAGAACATTATCAAATTGTTTAAAACTTTTTAATGTTGATGCAGTATAATATGAATTTCTATATGAATATATATTGTAATTAGATAGAATTGGTGGAGGATGTACAAGACATATAAATACTTCAATTATTGTTAATGAAATTTTTCTACAATTCATTGCTATACGCCAATCTTCAATACAATTATTAATACAAAATAACTACAATAAGAGAGAAGAAAGAGAAAAATGGAATACTTTAAGGATAAATTAAGAAGAAAAAAGGTTAAATGATTGTATACAGGGAGGTTGATTATGATTACAGTGGTCTTGAGTGCTTTTAGAGGTATGAGGGCGGTTTTCAATTCCCGGTTGCCCACACCGTGGAAGGGTTCTTCTGGAGGTACCTGAAAAGGAAATGGGATTAGAGGTGGTCTTAGTGGCCTATGAGCGTGACATCAGTGACCAGGGGACAACTGCTTGAGGCCGGTCATACACGACCTTTATATGAGTAATTTTTGTGTTAGCTCCGTACTTGTTGAGACCTTACCACCGGAGACGGATATCCGTGGGATAAGGCGAGGTGTGCATTTTTAGGATTGACCTTTTCTAACCTCACCCCTCCTTGTGGGAAGGCAGCATCGCTGTCATGCTGGTTGTCTGAAGGAAACTCCTTACTGCTGTCATACCTCTGTACAGTCAGCAGTACAACTTCGCCTTCGGACCTTGGGTTTGTTGCTTTTAGTCTTACCGCTCATCAACCGACCTGTCTGACATGGTAGGACCTTGAGGAACAGTTGTTCCAGCCAGTATAGCTCGGTTGCTTCATCACGATAGGCAAGCTCGACCACTACGTCGAAGTAGCAACAACGGTATATTAGAATACGATATATTCATTAGTTCATCAGTAATAGTGAGGTGTGATCTGTTTTATATCTACATAAGTAGTATATTTCGATGATCAGGAATAGAATGTATTTTAGTAGAAGATCGAGAAGGAAACAATAGGAACGGAAAGCAATTGGTATGCCAATGTATGAACAATGAAATCTGAGATAATGGATTGATATTTTGCAAATTAACTATTTACTTTATGGTTCTCAGATCTTCATTAGAATTTTTGTAATTTCGTGCTCGAATACATTCCATTACCCCATTCTTGTTCCTATTCAGTACAATAGCAGTGAATGTATTGTTCAACGATTCATTCTGAATAATTTTAACCATATAAAATGTGATTTCTGAAGGTTGAAAACATGTTTAAGTGACATGCATTTAGTTGTGGAAGCCTTTGAAGTGTCTCTAGTATATAGAAGAACCATCAAAGGAGATCGTAGTAACCAGTCTAATAAATGTTCACCCTTAAGTCAATTTCTGAAGGAATAATAATAGTTAACATACACATTAGTTGATTAGAAGACAGAGAGGAACTATTCGACTAGGTTGTATCGAAAGATACAGATTTCTTAGTTTGGATTTATAAGATAGTCATAATTTTCAGTTGAAGACCTCATGTGATGTAACTCACATTAGATAAAGTGAATATATTCAGTCTTTATTTTTACCAAAAATAATTAGATCATTGTAACTATTGGGCTTTGTTTGTTCGTATTGAAGTTCTGTTGTTTGACGCTCTCAATTGGATTGTAGTTGTATCAGAAGACTAGAGGGGTGACTGGAGGAGTATAACAATTAGAACTACCAATTCTTAATCATTGCAAATAATAACTTTTAATGGTTAGTAATAAAATCATTCATTCATTTTTAATCTCAATGACTATTAGAATGGTTATATGGATAATGTTATAAGTTCCGATTATTGATCTTTATTATATCAACTGTAATTCATCTACATCTAGATCTTACTTAGTACTATTCATTACTTTTAAAACTCCGCCTGAAGCCCTTTTGGCGCTACTGCCGATCCCAAGTCCGGATGAAGGAGGAGGAGGAGCATCGGTAGCTCACTAGCAGGTTTAATTATTATTATTAATAAAGAATTACAACAAATTTCATGTTCCAAGTTTTCATTCTGTTTACAATTAACCGATTAATGTTTAATAACTTAATGGTTTAGAATAATTGACTCATAGACATTTAATATAATCCACTTAATACTTAGGTTATAGTGTAGTGAACGAGAACACAAGTGAGGGACAATCGAATGTAATAAAATCTGAGAATCATACAGTAATTCCTTTATTTGCAAAATGTCAATCAATCGTTTGAGACTTCACTATTCTTTCATTTCCATATCAATCATTTTTTGTTCTTGTTCTCCTTTTTTTTATATTTTTAACTTTCTCAATTCGGGCATTTTACTTTCTATTGATTTTACATACTACTTATATCTGTCGATATCAGTAGCACACACAATCATGAACCGATTGATATTAGACAACTATTGAAAACCTGGAAGCACTGGACAGCCGTTTCGTCTTATTGTGGGACTCCTCAGCAGTGTGCATTTTACGAGTCCGCTGAATATGAATAAGTTCAATTAACTACATTTAAATATTAGCACAAGTATCATATGGGGATGAGTATTAACCCATTATTACTGAACTAGCAAAAAACAGTTATTGTGTGGTGTGTGCTAATTATGTCTACCCAACTGCGTCACAAGACAAGCCCTCACATGGAATCCTCATGGCCAAAGGAAAAGAGGAAGACCAAAGAACACATTACACCGGGAAATGGAGATAGACATGAGAAAAATGAACAAGGATTGGATGGAATTAGAAAGAAAGGCCCAGGACAGAGTGGGTTGGAGAATGCTGGTCGACAGCCTATGCTTCATTAGGAGTAACAGGTGTAAGTAAGTAAGTAAGTAAGTAGCATATAACACTAGTCAGGAATAAAATGTCTGTTCACAGAAGGTTGGGACAATCGAGGAGGAAAGAACGTGAAGTGAACTCAATTGGTATAAAAATCTAGAAACAATCAAGTGTAAGACAATTGATTGACATTTTACAGATAAAGAAATCACTGTATAGTTCTCAGATTTTACTAAGAGATTCTGTAATTTTGATGTTTATATACATTTGATTGTCCCCACTTGTGTTTTCGTCCCCAAAATAGTGAGATTTAGTTGTTAAACTGGATACCATAAACAGCAATATATAAATTTCGATACACAAAAGCACACAATGAGAAAGGATAAACGTTCAAAACAAACAAACAAACAAACAAAAATCAACTTCAGCTACCTTAACAGTAATGATATAAAAAGAAATGGCCTACAGATGAATACATAAGTCTGTACTAGATGAATGTTTGACCAGTGTAGGGGATGGTTGGAAGAAAGTTAGAGACGGCCAAATCAAAACATATAATCAGTCCTTGAACTCACTAATTTCTAGTCTGAGCCATGTTGGTAGATGCAGACTACTTGGCTGCGGTTCGTAAGACTATCGTAACCAATGGTTGGAGACTCTGTGTAACATGGCTCAGAATCGATTACAATGGCGTCACCTTATACCTTTCTTTTTACGAACTAATTCTTTCTTCCTGTACTATTTTCTTATATGCAATCTTTCTTTTATATATTACCACCTTTGACCTAACCACTCCTATGAATCCGGTGTTCATCTTGTTGTGTTAATGAGGTATGGCAACTTGGACCGATGCACATATGTGCCTGGTCCTACGTTATAGCTGACTTACTAGATGAATGATGAGTACACACAATGTTTATACATATATATTTTAGTGTCGGTCGTTATGTTAAGTCCACAAAGCTTATTCCGGCTTCCAGATAAGCCAACTTATCCATTCACTTCAAGCGACATTTTAACCTTGTTAATTGTTCACTTATCAACATCAACTGTTTTTATGTAAGCGTATGTGTGCACATTGCATTTCCTATTCACCACACGTTTGTAACTTATTTTCGTTCGAATATAAATGTCTATTAACGCTTGGTTAAATTTAGTTATGTCGCTAACCTTCACCATTGTGTATCGTTTTTTTTCGCTCCGCTTTCTGATCAATGATAATATGAAGTATACATATTTAAAAATCCATTATCGTATGTGACTTACCTAATTCCGTTATTAGATGGTGGTTGGAGGTAGTCGACAGGAAACCCTGGACCCTAGTTTCGTGCTATTTGGCACGAGATCGAATCCGCCAGAGAGCACCAGTTCCCTCAAGATTACAGGTACACCTTGCTGACGAGTACCAAGTAGCACGAAACCCAAGTCCAGGGTTTCCTGTCGACTACCTCCAACCACCGTCTAATCTCAGTATATAGTGCCCGCAGTGTCGAGTCATCTAGACTGGTGACCACATTGCAAAATAATCGATAGCATTCGATCTGCACTAGATAAAGACATGACACACATGACATTGATCACCACCCAGTGATCAATCAATTGTGATAATTCCGTTATTCACTAACGCGATCTAAGTCGATGATAATATACGAGGATTAGCGGAATGTACGTTTCAATAATAATCAATCATACGATATAATTGGAGTCAGATCTTGAGCCGCCAATATATACATATGTATTTATAAGAGTATGAAATTCAATACAAAATGAAAAACTACCTACTTGTACATCAACAGCATGATAGACTAGTGTAAGACCAACTAGAATAAGTGTTGATGCACTGATCAATGATTTTACCAATATGGAATAGATTGATGTCTATAGATGAAAGAAAAGTAAAATAGAATAAATAAGAATATAAATCAATATTTTTTTTATAATGTAAGTTTCTATTACAACTCCGCCTGGAGTCCCTTTGGGGGCTACTGCCGGTCCCAAGACCGGATAAATGAGGAGGGTTGGGCATGGGGTTAGCGACCCCATCCCGTAGAAAACTAGCTCGCTAAAAAAACGCTAACCAGAAACAGTTTCTATTACGTAATCTATTCAATGTTTATGCTATATCCTAGTGAAGATTAAACTACAAGTAACTTCTGAGACCTATTAATGAACTAATATTCTATATATATATTCTTATGGTATAACTAAACAGTAATTAGATTGTGTATATCTATATTTCCCTTCTTATAAACTTTATTTTGACCTATAGATTATTGTTGTAACGGGTGGACTGGAGGTTAGATGCGCAGCGTATTTATCGATCGACTCAATGACACGTAAAACACGTAAGGACGACCTAGAGTCCCGACTGGTCCCGCTTCCCTGTCTAGCCCAGCCAATCGAGTCCAGAACGCAAGTCCCAGCTTCTGAGTTATGAATCGTTATATTTTAAACATACTCTGTTTATATACCAACCAAACAGACCACATCGTACCATAAAAATAGAAAACAACATCTGTACAATATTTAACGAGTGAAATAAATAACGGCTAATAGGGAATGTCCATTTAGAGTCCAAGGACATCATTAGACTTAACATGATAATGATTGGTATATTCCTCAGCATCCCTAACAATTATTATTGTACAGTTTACTGTTCTTAAGTTGTATCCAGTGTATTGATTACAGTCTCCCACGCTCATAGCCACTTTTTGGTTTTATTATGTATGAATTTTATTTCCTATTTTATGGTGTGATGGGTCTGTTTGGCTGGTAATATAAACCAAGTATGTTTAAAATACATGAATCGCATAGTAGAAGCTGGTATTGGTGTTCTGGACTCAACTGGACGGGTTAGGCGAACAAAAGGTTAATAAGTACACTAGGCTGATCATACCGGTCGAACACCATTGGTCATTTTTAGAATAATAAATTAGTAGGTGATTAAAACGTTGATTAATTAATTCATGACAAAGCAAAGGTCGCATTTCTACAATTGAACAATATATGGAACTCAAAATAACTATATTTCAACCAATATCAAAGTCAGAATCTTCAATATGAACGTCAAAAAAGGTCTACTATACTGAGCTGAAACTTGGAGAACTACTACAACCGTCATCAAGAAGGTACAAGTATTTATAAACAATTGTCTACGCATAATACTCAATATCTATTTACCGGATACCATCAACAACAGCCTTCTGTGGGAGAGAACAAACCAGCTTTCAAGTGAAGAGGAAATGAGAAAAAGAAGTTGGAAGTGGATACGATATATATTAAGGAAATCATTAAACTGTTTCACGAGGCAAGTCTTAACTTGGAATCCTAAAAAGAAATGGAAAAGAGAAAGGCTGAAGAATACATTGCTTTGGGGGATAAAAGCAGATATGAAAAGGATGAATGACGATTGGAAGAGACTAGAAAGGATTCTCCAGGACAGCGTTGGATGGAGAATACTGATGGGCGGCCTATGCTTCTCCACGAGTGGTAACAGGCGTAAGTGAAGTAAGTACGTATTTAATTCATATCAATGTGTGATACAAAGAACAACTTGAACGGATTTACAGATTAATGACTGTTTCAAGTCAGTACTTTTAAGGTGAAACTATGATGTTGTAGTGACCTACTTTTGTCGAGAGAACGCGATTGGTGCAATGGAAACTATTACTATAACCAATGGTACCAGGATATATTCCACACTTTATTAGAGAAATTTCCCCAATTAACTATTCTCCTCACTGACCCGGCTGCTTTGTACGGAGCGCATACGCACTACCGCCTACCACCCAGCTTCAAATGGTTAAGTTGAACGGTTTCATCGCCAACTTAAAAGTGCTCTTCGAGCGCACGAAAACAACAAATGGTACGAAACCTTACCGCTCGTCCTCTTAAGTATCAGAACGAGCTTAAAGGCAGATATTCAATGTTTTGCAGCTGAAGTTGTATACGGCACGACATTGCGTCTGCCTGGGAATTTTTCACACCACAGAACAGTAACTGTTTTGGTAAATCAGACTATGTCCAACGACTGTCTGAATCTATGCGAACGCTGCCCCCGGTGTCAACTTGGATACAACATCAACAGGTAGCTCCCCTCGAGAGTTATCTACCTGTTCAGCATTGGTCGTCTCAAACCAGCACACGTTGATGACCTGATAAGCTGGGACTCAATGCTAGACCCAACAAACCTTCTAGCGGGATCTCTACATCTACCTCGGATCTTCTGCTAGATACATCAGAGACCTCATTCTCACATCCCGGTCAACAGCAGGTGTCATCTGCGCCATCTTCGGATGAGACTTCCGTCTCACGTCCAGATCAGCAGAACACGTCGCCTGTGACTTTGGACGAGGTTGCGGGATCACGAAGTACGAACGAGACTACCATCTCACGTTCCGGTCGCCGAGTACGCCTACCCGTACGCTTTCGCGACTAACCACACAACCAACAACGGATACGGTGTAGGGCTATTCCTATACTACATGCATGCTACACCTTTTCTCTTTATCGTTGATTTTTTTTGTACCCTGAGACCACGCCTCCAACCATCGCCCGTTTGATAGTGTCAACCTCGGTCAACTTTGGCGAAAGCTGGCCTGAACCCCCACGCTCTTGTCAACGCACTCAGTCGATATTTTGGTTCCGAATATATCTGGCATATATTTGGTCTTGCGCTTGGTTGTTATGGTCGCTTCTGGTTTCTTGGCTCAACGTGGTTTCGTCCTATGTCTGCAGCGTTTTCTGGTCCAGACCCCTACGAACACAATCTTCAGATCCTGGATACAGACCACTCTGGTGTGATACGCTAAATCAAGCAACAGATACGGCGTGTTTCCTTTGGTACTGTTCTGCGTAAAAAACCTTCAGTGGCAACTCAAGGATCAACGATCACTTCCTGTTCTGCCAACCCCTTCTTCCTACAATCGCACGTTTGCCGATCAGTCCCACGAACTAAATCACTACGTATCGAAAGTGTAAACCCTTTCTAACGAGGGGCTCCTGTAGTAACCTACTTTTATCAAGAGAACGCGATTGATGTAATGGAAACAATTATTATTATAACCAATTGTACCAGGGATTGTTTTAGTGTACTGTTTGACTGTATCCGCTGTTCATCTTGCTGTGCTAATGAGGTATGGCAACCTGGACCGATGCACATATGTGCCTGGTCCTACGTTGTAGCTGACTGACTGTACCAAAACACATACATTCTTCCGTTGATTGTGACCTTGCACGAAATCGGTTACGCTCAGTAACCACACTTGTAACCTGGCACGATCTCGGTATTCTTTCGATACCGCGAGATCGCCAACAAATACATCTCGACTACAGCCACCAACTGACTTCTGATATTTGGCTTACGGGGGATCTTATCGGTTAACTGGCAGGTAGTCTTCCTGTAGTGGTGATCATAGTCAACCGCGACTCGACGCCGCACTACAATGTAATACATTAAATTAATTAAAGTATCAAGTTTATTGGAATGCATATTATAACTTATAGTTAAAATCTAGCTGTCAGTCATTTCAGATAATAACTATCAGGATAAGGTGCTGATAGAAGTGATTTAGTTCACAGTAGTATAAACTTGATTTCCAATCAGAATATCTTACTATACTATCCATTAAATGTTGCAATAACTATGTAGTGTATGAACAAAGATGGATGGGATACAGGACGTGCGCTTCGTTTAACTTAGGACCTATTAGGTGGATGTACGTGCATCTCAGAGTTGATATTCACACCGGAACTTGAACTCACTAACGTTCTCTTCAAAAGCCCTTGCGTTATCCACTTAGCTACTGAGTTTTAATACGCACCCACGTGTAAACGGGTATGAATTTTAATTTACTTTGTAATGGTTTATATTATCTCGTCGCTGATATTTTAACTGAAATTAAACCATTTTTAGTTTCATTCTATGTAAGAGTTGACAAATGCGCGTATATTAGTATTCAGCGAGATAAGTACTCCAATCAAGTCTAAGTGTAGACAACGAGAACAACATTAGGGTGCAGCTACATTCAGTTGACAAATCCTAAGTAAAATGGAAGGTGTATATTTGATTTAAAAGCTAATCACTATCTCACTGGTTGAAATCATTAGTCAATTGAAGCTAGACCACCATTGGAAACCTGGAAGCACTAGACGGCCGTTTCGTCCTAGTGTGGGACTCCTCAGTAGTGTGCGCCCAGGACCCCGCCCCGGCGAGATTCGAACCCAGGGTCTATCAGTCTCTAGACCACTGAGTCGGCATCTAACGGTGTTAATGTCTAACTTCAATCAATCCATGAAGTTGCTTCCAGGTTTTCTATGGTGGTCTAGCTTCAATTGACTCATGATTTCAACCAGTGAAATTTCTAAAAAATCTCCACAAAACCCCTTCTGATAATCACTATCTGTCTGGATAGTGTATTAATCTAATGAAAATTAACCGTTTACATCACTGCGTGGCTATAACTATAGAACAATTCAAAACCAAGAGAGACTGAAAAGTTGTTTTGTCTTAGTGAGGTATCCTTGCCGATGCTTATCCACAACTAACAGAGACAAACAAAAACCAGGATCTCCAAGTTTCACAGTAAACGATTTACCATCAGATCATTGAGTTATAATATAAATATCTGAATTTCTAACTTGAATCCTGTAGTGGAATTCTAAAACTCTCAATGGCTTCCCAGTGGCGAGACTCTAATTTATGGACGACCTTTGAATGAATCTTAAGTGACCTTGAGAGATATTAGCCAACCATCAAACAGTCAGTGTATAGTAAAAATATATTATACAAAACCAAGGAAATAAAGTGGATACACTTCTTATAAGTGGTTCAAAACCTTGTCAAGGTTAGAAAGAGGTTCAGAGATTGTGAAATCGTAAAGCATACAGTAGAGGAAATCATCCATACGGCTACAGGATAGTCGGCCTCTGGTGCCATGATAAAGTCTCAAAAACTCTTTCAGCCTCGAATACATAGTCCCAATATTGTCTATGTGCACTCCGGTTGTTGAGTGCACAAAATGCTACTTGTGGATAACGACACGTTGCACATAACCAAGACTATGCAGGAGTCTGTACGCTCTCCAAACATCCGTATATATTGTAGTACCTGGCTGCAGCCAGTGCTACTGGTGCTTTTATTATCCAGTTCGCGATAACTGTCGTAATTTGCCTTACGAATTATATATGGGGGTTTCATCACGAACTGACATCAGCTATAATGCAAGAAATCTATTTAGCCAGATGGATGAAAGGCTTTCACGTTAAAATCCGAGATCTATCATCTTATATCTGATTGATAGTCTCGCCGTTTTATTTGTTATAGACGCTCAATTATCACGTTTTGTACAAAATTCGTTGTGAACCGATCGTATGTTAGCACTAAGCACTGAATTTGGCACCGTAACCTTGAAATCACTAAAACGCTTCCGATTGGCTTGTCCATAAATTAGAGTCTCACCGCTCTAAACTAAAAAAAATTATGTCTATTTGACTAATTTTATAAGCTTAGTGAAAAGATTCAGTACCTTAATTTATTCTTATAATATAATAATACATACCCTTAAATATACTTTAGCCATAATCATTTCTAATTCAAATACCATTAATAGAATACCCATTACAGCAAAAAATAATGAATAATCAGCTAATTTTCTACGTCTTTCATTAAATATTTTACGCCAATGTAAACGCCAACCAATTCCACGATTTGATGTTTTATAATTCATTGTTGGTTGAACTGAACCAAGTGGACCACTAGTACCATATAATGAACGTAAATCTTCTGCATTACGACGTATTTTAGCACGTATACCAATTGGTCTATTTGTTTCATCATTATTATTATTCGTTTCAAATATATCATTGATATCATGTAATTGTTCAGATTGTAATGAAGATTTTTGACTATGATCATTCGTTGTGATTCATTATCGATTAGTTTACGTAATTCTTCACTTTGTTGTAGTTGTTGCTGTTGTTGTTGTTGTTGTTGACGATCATATGATGATTGTTCAATAGAATGTGATTCATGTAGATGATCATCTTTTCTATTGAATTGTTCTAATTGATCTAATTCATAGATTGGATCTATTGAATTATATGAATGATTATCATTCTCTTTATTTGTATTCAATATTGGTGAGATAGCAATTTTTGCTGTATTTCTAATAATTGCTTGTTTAATACTATGAGGTATTAAATGATGATCAGTTTTGTTACTACTACTACTACTATTATTATTTTGAGTAGTAGTAGTAGTAGTAGTATTAGCGATAGTAGGAATATTACTTCCATCATGATTAGGTCGATAAGCACTATTACTGTGAACAAGATTATCAGTTTCATGAATTGAATAATGGGCTTTCTGTCGATGAGTAACGTTTTGATGATGGGTAAAACTGGTTACTAAAACAAAACAAAACAAAACACACACACACACAACAAAAACAAAGCAAATAGAAATGATTTAAATCGTTAGCAAATAATAAAAGAAAGGAAATTCGGCAAAATTTACATCGATCTAACTTGAACCAATCGAATTACACTTGACGGAGAAGATTTGGAAGATGTAAAAACCTTTACATATCTGGACAGCATCATTGATGAACAAGGTGGATCTGATGCAGATGTGAAGGCGCGAATCAGCTAAGCAAGAGCAGCATTTCTACGACTGAGGAACATCTGAAACTCAAAACAACTGTCAACCAACACCAAGGTCAGGATTTTCAATGCGAATGTCAAGACAATTCTACTGTATGGGGCGGAAACCTGGAGAACAACGAAAGCCATCATCCAGAAGATACAGGTGTTTATTAGCAGTTGTCTATGGAAAATACTTCGGATCCGTTGGTCAGACACTATCAGCAAAAACCTATTGTGAGGGAGAACAAAGCAGGTCTCAGCGGAGGAAGAAATCAGGAGAAAGTGCTGGAAGTGGATAGGATATACATTGAGGAAAGCACCAAACTGCGTCACAAGACAAGCTCTCACATGAAATCCTCAAGGTCAAACGAGAAAAAGATGTTCAAAGAACACATTACTTCGAGAATTGAAGATAGATATGAGGAGAATGCACAACAATTGGATTGAACTAGAAAGAAGACCCAGGACAGAGTGTGTTGGCGAATGGTGGTCGGCTGCATTAGCAGTAACCGGCCTAAGTATGTAAGACTCGTACTCGGTTACCGTTAGGTTATCTAGTTCTAGGTTTAAGAATAATAAGTATGTTCACATTAATTATATTGACCAATTAATTAATTTAGTGTAATTTTATTATCGAGTAAATCAATCAGAATCAAGTTAGATATTTAGTATTTTTGTGGCGAAAATTTAAAACCAGCGCTATCTGGGGCGACAATATAATTTATGAGCGAACCAATCAGATTTACGATAACAAGTCTTGAATTTTGGCGCGAAACTAATTCATACAATTAGTTAAAGAGTTTTGGCATTATAGCTTATTTCAGTTCGTAATTCTTAACCTTCAATAAGCTATTGATTTCATGACTATTTATTTTGGAGTAATAAATGGTCATCAAGACTTTCAGGGCCATTTCCAGACTTTCTTAATACAAATCCATTGTTTATAATTTCATAGTCCTTTTGATGAATTCTTTTAGGATAACAAATGATAGATCAAGTAAAGTTGAGATCATTTATTTTCTACTCTAATCGAAGGTTCTGAATCTGAGTTTCACGTACAGGATCTTGAATACACACTGTTGGGGAGTCCCATACTAGAACTAAATGGCCATTCAGTGATTACAGATTTTCATTGGTAGTCTAACATTGATCCATTTATGATATATCAACAAATGAATATCATGAGGGAAATAGTTGAATATTTTATTTCTATTGAAGTTAATTATCGTCATAAATTATTATCAACCTGGATGAAACATTCGTTCAGTTCTCTTTGATTTCGAATATTTACCTAATCGGTGCTTATATATTTTATTTATTTATGTATTTAAACACATAAACATTGGTACAACAAGGAACCAAATAGATATGCGCCACATAAACCATTCAATTTCTGTGAGGAGTGGGATACTGCACGAGTGCCCAAACTGAAGCAGGGAGCCACATTCGGAGCCTTTGACCTAGAGGTCTAGTCCACAAGGCAATCCCATGCTAGCCTGTGACCAACAATTGGTTCATACACCGTTTGTTTTGTCAAGATCCTGGAGCCCATGTACACCACTGGTTTGGAATGAGGGTTTTCCAAATCTCCTGGGTGAACTCTCCGTGTCCACCAACACTGTTTAGATTCCGAACATTCACTTTTCGTCCTCTTAGTTTTGTATACAACACTCGTGTTGCGAGAAGTCAGTGAGTACGGCTTCCCTGATAGTGGTTGTATGCACGTAGTCATGTGAGAGCATTTGTAGAGGAAGAGCTGATTCTCCTCACTCTTGGCCGTATCAGGGCATTTGAGAGCTGGTGGAAGTACCGGGTTATGTATTTATAGACATATTAATTATCAACAGCTTCATACTACTAGTAGTTATTAGGAAAATAGTAGTATATATATGTATATATATAAACAGTATCTTGTTAAACTTACTCAAATTCCTTTTTGATGGAGTAAAAATTGATGTACTAAGCTCACGTAATGTAGATAATGTCATTCTATTCTTTTTACTACTATTAGTAGTATAATCATTGAATTTAAAATTTTCAGGATTCATTATAGATGATTTACTATGATTATTATTATTAGTAGTATGATTATATTGTCGTAATTTCACTTGTACTCTATCCGATGTTTCTCTACTTAATGTATGTTTATCATATGGAGATTTTTTTGGTTTATGCGTACCTGATGCCCATGCTAATGCTAATGCACCAATATGAGCTTCACGTTCTAATAAATTATCGGATTTCATTTCATCTTCTTTTTCAAATGATGATTTTAAATTATCACTTAATCTATATTCATTTAAATGAGTATCATATTCATAGAGATTACTAGTACTATTACCATTACCATTACTATTACTATTACCAATTATAGAATTCTTATCATTCTTATCTACATAGTCTATAGTATGAGAATTGAATTGTTCATCTTGTCTCATTGTATCACTATAATGTCTTGGATATAAACAATGAATAGTTGATTTACGACGTATAATTATAGTATTATCTGGAATAATACTATTCTCATTTGAATGATGTTGTTGTTGATGATGTTGATGATGATGATGCATTAAAGAGGATTCCATTCGATCATGATATTTATATCGATTAGTAATATGCTCTGTAGCAGTTCGTTTTAACTTGTATAAAGAGTTACGCATCATCTCTGTTGTATCATTATGATTACTACTACTACTATTAATAATAATAATATTATTATTATTATTATTATAGTAGTAGTAGTAGCAGTAGTAGCATTAGTAGTCGTAGTGGTATTCGGGTCAGTATATTTCTGTTTAAGAAGTTTTGTTCGTCTAAATTGATTGCTTGATAAAATTGATGATCTTGATTGTTTTCTTACTTCAAATCTACGTAGTTCATGATCTAATAAATCAGTTTTATGCATTATTACATTATTATTATTATTATTATCTAATTGTAAATGACAATGTTGTTCATTAGGATCATTGATACTAGAACTATTATCGATTAATGTATTGTTTATTGATTTGAATGAACAATTAAATTGTTCTTTGGATGTTTGTAAATCATCAATATGAATTTGTTGATTAGATGGAATATTCATTGTAGTACTAGTAGCAGTACTAGTCGTCGTCGTCGTAGAAGAAAAAGAGTTTGGTTGTGCCTCAATAGGTTTCAATGAATGTGGAGATACTTCAATGATTTGATGATAATGATTATTAATATTATTATTATTACTAATCTTAAAGTTATTATGATTGGTGTCAGCATCTTCAAAACTTGATATAACCGATTTCCAACTTCCACTTGTGGAATGTTTAAAATCATCTAAATTTTCTAGAAATTTTGTAGAACCAACTGATTGAAACATTTCAAAACTATCGGTTTCTGTACTTGGTTGATGATGTAATAAATATGAATAACGTTTAAATCCTCTTAAATCATAATCATCAAGTATATTATATTGAGTTTTATAAATTGGATTGGAACATTCTGAATTAGATTTATTCGATTGTTCCATTCTTTCTTCTTCTTCTTCTTCTTTTTCTTTTTTGTCTTTTTCTTCGTCTGCTTCTTCTTCGTCGCCGTCGTCTTCGGGTTCTTTCATTTTTTCATCCATTTTAAATGATTATAAAGTTGTATATGGATTGGTTCTTGAAAGGATATAACCATTTGTAAGTTTATGATACAATCAATTGGTTGATTCTAAAGGATTTAAGAAAGAAATACATCAGTTTAAAAAAGTATACGTGTATTAGATAGTGGAATGTAGTTAATAACCCTACCATCACCCCCTCCTTGAATTTATATTACATGATTGTGATATCCGAGAGAAGATTAAATCACGAGTAACGTCTGAGACTTATTAAGGGTATAAATATTTGGCAACTAGATTATGTATAGTTATATTCCCCTTGTTATGAGCTTCAATTTGACTTATAATTTATTATTGTACGATTTACGGTTCTTAAGCTATGTTCAGTTTATTGACTACTGCCTCCCACGTTCACAGTTTTTTTTTTTGGTTTTATTGTGTACAAATGTTATTTCCTATTTTATGGTACGTTGTGGTCTGTTTGTGTGAGATATAAACCCAGCATGTCTGGAATAAGTTATTCGATTGGATTTGCATAGTGCAAGCTGGTATTGGTGTTCTGGACTCAAGTGGACGGGCTAGGCGGATATAGGACCAATAAGGAGGCTAGGCTGCTCATACCGATCGAACGCCATTGGTTTGACACAGTGCTAAAATAGTATAGGTCATATTTGATTGGTGGATAAATCACGTGATAACTAGCCGAACATAAAATCACAACAATGATAGTTGATACTTCGTAGGTAAACTCATTTGTAATCCGTAGGGTACTGATTTCTCCCTTGGAATTCTTATTTGTGTCATCTAATACTATTGTGAAGTATTTGAGCCAGAATTGATTTCGTGTGAAACTTTAATATTCACCATAAATCAATACCAGTTGATTATAAGTTAGTGATTAGTTAATTTAGAACATGTGACTTTTTCATAGGGAGATCCATCAGTTTAACTGTCATCAATGCTTCTAAATAATAGTTATGCTAATATCATATTCTGAATGAAATCATACTGTTTGACTTCAACTTCATAGTTTCAACAGTTAAAAATTCTCACAAGATCTGGAAACTTTGGGTTTGATTACTAATGAACTAGCTTACTAGTGAGGAGTTTCATACTGGAATGAAATAGTTGTCAAGTATTCATTGATTCTTAATGGTTGATACCCAGACTAAGATAGATCCATTATGAATATCACCTATTATAAAATTCTTTATGAATTACTTGTTATTACATCTATGTGTATACACGCGTGATTTCATCCGTTTTCGAACTGTACGTGAAACATTTCTGTTCTGACAAAAAGATGAATCGTCTAAAATGTTAACAATAGTATAATCTTGAATTTGCCCTATGTTAATATGTAGGATCAATTTTTGATCAGTTCTTGTTGACAGATATACATTCTGTGTGGATTATATTGATAGAGGTACATCCTTCTCATAAGTCTCAAATAAGAAGAAATGATCGTTTTGGATTGCACTTCTAGTTAAGGTTCATCTATTCTAAGTCTTTTGAAATAATTTGAATTATATATTGAGTTCAATTAAGAGTTGTGGAAATTTTGTTTTGTACTCATGATTCCTTCTAGTTTCACAGAGTACATGTTACTTTTAGACTATTGAGTTAGAATTTAATGCCCTATATTTCTAACTTCAAGCATTAAAAACTAACCAGTGTCATACAAAACTATCTCACATTAATCAATTGATGTTAGACCACCGTTGGAAACCTGGAAGCACTGGACGGCCGTTTCGTCCTAGTATGGGACTCCTCAGCAGTGCGCATCCACGATCCACGAAATTGCGCGATTGGTTGATGTTAGACACTAACACCATTGGATGCCGGCTCAGTGGTCAAATGGTTAAGTGCTAAGACACGAGGCCAGTAGGTCCTGGGTCCGAATCCCGCGGGGTGCAGGATCGTGGATGCGCACTGCTGATATCTCACATCATTTTGATCATATATATTATATAACAGAACACAAAAGGTAGTTAAGTTTAGATGCACTAAATTCATTAATATCTGTCTGTTATTTGTGTAAGAATGAAGATTGCTTTTAACTGATAAACTAATCTGAATGAATACATGTTGTTTATGATTGAGATCATGAACCGATTGATATTAGACCACCATGAAAAGTCTAGAAGCACTGGACGGCCGTTTCGTCCTACTGTGGGACTCCTAAATAGCAGTGCGCATCCATGATTCCGCTGGCGGGATTCGAACTCAGAACTTTCGGTTTCGCGCGCAAACTTTTAACCTCTAGACTACTGAGTCTGTTGTGAGATAGAAACTCACGGATGACAATTGTGACGCTTGTTTTCGTGGATTAGTTGAATGTGGACATTAACACCGTTGGATGCTGGCCAGATCAGTGGTCTAGTGGTTAATTGCTCACTCGCGTGATGGATTGATCCTGTGTTAGAATCTTGTGAGGCGGGATCGTAAATGTGCACTGCTGAAGAGTCCCACAATAGGTCGAAACAGCCATGCAATGCTTCCAGGTTTTCCATGGTGATCTAGCTTCAATTGACTCATGATCTCAAGTATTGAAATTATTGTAATATCCACAACCCCCCTTTCTAATATTAATAATTATTTCACTAATACACTAACATATTAAATCATCATACTTTTCTTGTAAAGAAGCAAGCAAACAAACAAACAAACAAACTTGTATATTCACCTCATTCTTTTTTAAAGTTTTACAATGAAACGTATGTAATTCAATGAGAAAAACATGGCAACTTTTCGTTTCTTTTCTTTTTCTTTTATTATTTCTTTCTATTTTCTTTTACATTTCTACTATGAAATGATTTGATGTCTTAGTTACAAAAATGTATATTATGTCATAAATATTCTTACAATTCAATAGTGAACTAAACTAAATCAAGGTCATTTTGAAACTATGACTATTATTACATAATGAAATTTTACATTTGACATAGTTAACAAGCAAAAAAAAACAAAAAAAAAACAACAAGAAAAATAACATCAGCAACAACAACACCAACATCATGAATCGAGTCAACATCCTCAAGGTGAATTGAACATTTACAGTAAAGGAGAAAGAGAGTGAGATACACATACACACACACACACGCAGGGAGAGGGGTGGGAGGGGGAGAAAGAGGAAATAAACCAACAACAACAACAACAAAAAATAGAAAAGTAATAAAGAATCTATGCAACTAAATAAAGTGAAATGATATTTTTCAACAATAAAAAAACGGAGTTTTTTTTACTTAAGACTATTTAAAATAGAATAAATCTTTAGTTCATGTTAAATGTGAAGATTCATTGTCTGTGAATCAAAAACAAAAAGAGAGAAGAATCTAGATATTTTGTTACTATCCTAGATACAAAAGAAAATATCATGAAAACACTCCTCGTCGTTCTTTTTTTTTCCTTTTTTTTTGAAGGAAAACTAATAATAGTTCTTATTTAATCTTGGTAAAGTACAGTACAATTTTTAAGGAAAAAATATAGCGAGATTATAGTCTATGGATAAACCAATCAGGTATAAAATAAGAGGTCTAGGATTTTTGGCGCGAAATTTATTCATCTATTTGGTTAAATAGAGTTTTGGCATTATAACTGATGTTATTTTATGATGATAATCCTAAATCTAATTCTGAACCCTTAACTGGAGTATAACAGAAGCTCCCCTGAAGCTAGTCATTGTTGTTCAACTTGCATCCAATGTGTTTCACTGATCCCAAGCACCTCTACGTTGTATCTCCTCAATTCTGCAGCAATTTGGAAGACTCTTCCGGTCTCCCACATTGTACGAGTATTCCATGTACCTAAATAAATGGTTTCTCTAGTTGTCAGAAGGGGTATCGGCCTCGTGACTTCCAAAGGAACTCGGATTTTATCATGAGGTGTCATAACTCTTCTAAATGAAGATCTTCTGACTCCCAGGGCAGAGTTTATAAGGTTTCAATAATTTTTTCTGGTTAACGGTTTTCTGGCGAGTTAGTTTTCTACAGGATGGGTCGTTAACTCATGCCCAACCCCCTCTTTTGTCCGGGCTTGGGACAAGCAGTAGCCCCCGGAGGGACTCCAGGCGGAGTTGAACCCTTGACCATCAACTGTAATCATAATTCTAATTCATCACAGGTTTATAACCATCATTTAGTGTTAGTTATTAGGTGGACACTCTCAAGGTCAGTCTAGCGTCACGCAAAAGTCGTCCATAAATTATAGTCTCACTAGAAAAATTTGTGTATACTGGGAATAATGAAATCGTGTTGATTAGTTCAATGTTTATTTTTAATCTTATTGGCTTAATAAATATGTCAACGATACACCAGTTTGGATGGTGGTTGGAGGTATTCAACAGGAAACCCCGGACCATATCCCCAACTACCATCTATTTTCAACATAGTGCACGCAATATCAAGTCACTTAGACTAGTGGCCACTTTGCAACTTGATCGATAGCATTCGATCTGCACTAAGAAGGACTTGACACATATGATATTGATCATCACCCAGTGATCGATCAATTGTGATACATCAGTTTAAAATAACTAAATATATATAGGGATTATTATTATTATTGTGGAGATCAGTTCAGCATGAAAGTGATATTTATTATTAATTAACCCTGTGGTTTGTGCTACTTATATCGACATAGGTTAGGAACAGAATGACTGGCAGCAGGATTTGTAGAGGGAAAGAATGAGAACAGAAAGTAATTGGGTTGGAAATGAAGGGACAGTGAAGTTTGAGACGATTGATTGACATTTTACAAATGAAGTATTTACTGTATGATTCTCAGATTTTACTAAGAGATTCTGTAATTTTGGCGTTCAGATTCATTCGATTGCCCCACCTGTGTTCTTGTTCACTACAACCTTATTTACGGTACTTCAGTGAACGAGAACAAAAATGGGGATAATCAAATGTATTTGAACACGAAATTATTGAATATCTTAGTTAAATCTGAGAACCATAAAGTAAATACTTCATCATTAAAATGTCAATTAACTGTCTCACACTTTGTTGTTTCTTCGTTTCTACATCAATAACACTCTGTTCACGTTTTCTTTTCTTCGGTCTTCTTAACCTTCTTCCGCCAGGTATTTCACTTTCTATTGATGATA